CTATAAAGCTGCATGATTTTGAGATGGCTAGAAATAATCAGGTTATAAAATTAGGAAGGGTGTCGGCTATTAGGGGAAGACTTAGTGAATAACCGAGATAAGGTAAGTGATCCTTTTGTTTGTCATGGTACAGAAATGAGTAGTCGAATTAGTTTTATCAGCACTAATGAAAGCGACAGCCACCTCAATTAATGTACCAAATGTCTATTTAAACTTTATCAGGCACACAAAATATGTAGTGCTCCGATTCTTGATGCTTGAATGTTAGGGTGCAGGACAAATAAAAAATGGGATTTGAAATGTTGAACAATGAGGCTAATTCGATATTTAAAATACTAGTACATAGATGGGATGTACTATTTTAGTAATCTGTGGTTAAAAATCTTACATGATTTTGTTAAATAATTTAGCTAATTTGAAATCACGCCACCTTGAAAATTCTCCTACAGATACAGGTAGGATATATTATAGAGAATAAAACCAGTATCTACATTAGTTAAAATAACATGAATACAGAAATACATCTGACACAACAAAATTGGTATCAGACTTGATCCTAGAACATACTTTGTTAAGTGTATATTGCAATTTATAAAGCTAACCAAATTCAATTGCTAAGAAGAGTATGTGAGGAAGTCCTTTGGTAAATAGTTCTTGACGTACAACTGTAATGGAGACAGCTAATTACAGTCTTAAGTTGTGATGGTTGTTGAGTGAGGCACCCATGTGACTGCTTTGCTGAACAATTGCTATTCTGGCTCTCCAGCCAGCCTTTAGAAACACTGAATTTTGTGGCCTTCTGGCTAGAAAGCCAGCAAATGAGATCTTTCTGAAAGGGGGGGGGGGGAGGAGAAGGGCTTTTTCCAACCATCTGTAAGAGTAGCAGCTTCACAAAGGGCCTCTGGCCTGCACTAGGTGAAATCCATCTAATATGCAAAATCCATGGTTAAAGTGAGATTTTTCACACGAGAGTCTTGAAGCATGAACTGTTGGGAGCCAGCCTGGCTCTAAGAGCTCCATGCTGCAAGCACCCTGGACTAAAATCCCTCTTGGTTTTTGCCATGGATCTTTCCAGCCATCCTCTGAGAGCAGGACTGCTTTGCCAAGGGGCTCCACCTCGCTGGGAGTGAAATCAATCTGGCAGACGGCCCTTCTATTATTTCAGTTGGAGAGTAGAAATGGGCTAAAAATGAGCTGTCCCAAAATGGGTGTTGATGGACCTTTTTCAGTCATCCCCCCCACTAGAAACCAGAGTTGAGTCCCGTGGCAGCAACCTTCCCTGCCAGCTTCCCTGTTGACTTTCTGAGGAAGCTGGGATGGAAGATTGCAAATGGCATATGATCGCAGAAAGTTTGGCAATCTTCAATGGATTGCAAAAGCCCAGATCCCAATTACATGACTGCAGGGATGCTGCAGTGGTATAAGTTCAGATGGGAAGTTGTCCATTCAGTACCATCATACTTTTATAAACAGTCACTTAATGAACAGCTATAAGTCAAAGACTACCTGTAACCATCTGGCATTCAATTTCATGGTGGATAAAGTAGAACAGAAGTTTAAACCAATCTAAAACTGTTCATATTCCAATAAATATAAATGAAGAACTCTAGTCTATAATGCAGCTGCTGTTAAGTAAATGGTGAACTATTCAACTGAATGGCAAAAGAAGCTGAGGTACAAATAAAAATAAACCCAAAATACTGAAGTAATTTCATATGAGAATGCATAGAATTATTTAATTTTGCTTATTAAAAAGTGTTATGAGCAATATTTATTTGTGTTGGGATTCTTTTAAAAAAAAATCAGCAATGAAGGCAAATAACTACAGCTCATTAAATATGAAGATCAGTTCATAATGAGATATATTATTTGTGCTTATCTAATTAACATCTTGATGTCAACACATTTTTCCAACAATCAAAACTGCTTATATACATGGACATTATTAGATGAAGTATCTAGAAATCAGTTTGACTTACTGGTGCAAGATGGTGGAAAAGCCAAGGGAGAATAGCAAAATTATGGTCAGGTTGTCTATGGAACTGATAATAAGCAGCTCATATGCAAATTTCAAGTCAAGCTAAAGTGGAAGAAAACTGACCAGTTTCCACAATACAATCTTGAGCATATACTCACCATTTTCAAGAACATCAGAATTGCTTTGAAGACCTGAACCTCATTAATAGGCACCAGGGGGAAGTTGTTAAGGATGAATGTGAAAAGAGACTCAAAAATAATGAAACAGAAGAAACTATACCGGAAGTCAGAACAAATAACAAACTGCCAAGAGAAAAAGCCAAAGATAAAAATCTCAGGAAGAACTTAACAAATTTTGGACAGCTGTTAGAAGAGACAAGCAATATTATAACAATATAGGTAACCAAAATGGACAGACAAGAAAAAGCAAGAAAAAATCTTTCAAAAGATCCCTTAACTCAAAAGGAAGATGCAACCCCAAACTGGTATGCTAAAAGATGCCAATGGATATAAAAAGGATCAGAGAAAGCTGGAAGAAGTATGCTGAAATTCTATACAGTAGAGATGTTAATATCCATGATAGTTTAGAAACATTCCTTATTTACAAAAATTAGATGAAGTTAGACCAACACTCCGGTCATTAAGTTGGAAGGCTACCAGAACTGATAGAATATTTATATAAGTAAGGTAAGCAATAAAAGAATAAATCAAGATTCTAATCAAACTGCTGCAAATTTGGAGAATGACATTATCGGGCAACAGATTGGTCAAGAGTAGACTTAACAGAGTATACAAACCTATCACACAGTATTTTTAGGATCTTCCAGCAGAAATTACAGCTATGTGGAAAGAGAAATTACAGTTGTTCAGGTAGATTTTAGAAAAATCTAAAAACTAAAGGACATTGGTGTTGGTATCTTCAAGGTAATTCAGAAATTCATAGAATATAAAAATTTTAATATACATTTGATTATAAAAAGTCCTTCAGCTGTGTCAACCATAATATAGAATGGCCTTAGAAAATAGGGAATCTCAGAATACCTCAATGTTCTTGTGTGACACCTATACAGGTATTGTCAACTTACAACAGTTCATTTAGTGACCACTCAACAGCATTGAAATAAGTGACTTATAACTGCTTTTCACACTTGCGACCGCTGTAGCACCCCTGTGGTCATGTGATCAAAATTGAGATGCTTGGCAACTGGTTCATATTTAGGACAGTTGCAGTGTCCCGGGGATATGTGATCTCCTTTTGCAACTTTCTGAGAATCAGAGTCAATGGGGAAGCCAGAATCACTTAACAGTCATGTTACTAACTTAACAAATGCAATGATTCATCATTTAGCAACCATGGCAAGAAAAGTCATAAAATGGAGCAAACTCACTAACAAATGTTTCCCTCAGCAACATAAATTTTGGCTCAATTGTAGTCATAACTCAAAGACTACCTCTACATGAGATAGGAAGCCAAGTGTGAAATGAACATGATGAAACCAGATCCAGGTTGGTACCAGAGTTAGACAAAGCTGTGTACTCCCACAAGTTGAACAAGGGAGACTGGATTGGGAAAAGATCAGCATGGTTTTAAAACTGGAAAAAGAAACACCAATAACTTGCCCTCTGCTGAAAATGCAAATGATCGGCGAACTCTAGTAATGAAACTTAATGAGCAGAGTGGGAAAAAAATAGGACTAAGACTAAAGAAGACTAAAGACAACAGATGGAATAAACAGCCTTAAAACTGACAGTGAATATAGGCAATGAAATGGTGAATAGCTTTTGCTTTTTAGAACAGACCACAATAAGGAACAAACTGTCAAGAAATACAATGTACACAGTACTTGGTAAAGTAACAATGAAATCCTTATGAAATACAGATGACAATGTGTCTATGCTTACAAAGATCGGATCATGTAGGCTGTGGCACTCTATTGAAGCAGACATAGGATTTTGAAGAAACGGGATAAAAAGGGCACTGATCCTTGTGACTTTTGGTGGTGGAAGATTCCTGAGAATGCCCTAAATAACTAAGAAAACAAATAACTGGATCATAGAGAAAATAAATTCAGAAATTTCAATTGAAACAAAAGTGACTATGCTCAAATCATCATATTTTGGACACATTATGTGAAAGACTTTGTCTTCTTGAGAAGTTTATAATGAATGGAAATGAATGGATCAATAAAATTTCTGAAGAGCCAGGTTGGAGACAAATCATGAAGTGGCTGGCTAGATTCAGTAAGAGACTTAATGGTATAAATCTGTTAAAAGTAGCTTTTGAATATCAAAATGACTAATCAGCCTAAAACATGGCCCAGGTAGGTCTCTTTAGTACTAATGCTACATGATTTTTTAAGCAAAGCCATGTTCCTAAAATTTAACCATACTCCTACAAGACAGCTGTTCAAAACAGAATCCTAACATTCTTATTGGTATGATTAGCTACAGATATTTTGAGCTTCAAGTCCAGCAAGCATTTTCTATTTTTTAATTTTTTTAACATATTATTCTTTACTAGAGAAATATACAGTAGGTTACAGCAAAACCTCTGTACCAGGGATGGGCAATTTTTATCCTTACAGATATTGGACAGCAATTTTTATCTTCAGTCATGTTGGCTATGGCTAACAAGAGTTAGGATGACCCTGCATTATCTGTAACTAAATTTTCCTTGCAAGGACTTTGAAGTCCAAATGGGACAAGAGAATAGTTATAACAATTCTTGTTTAGGTTTTGAAGATTAACAATGTTAATAATTATAGTCCACTGTCTTTCTTTAGATTTCAGTACAGATCTGCTGCTTCTTCTGCACTGAAGGTGAGTATAGGTAGTCCTCAACTTACAACCATTTAGTGACCATTCAAACTTACAATGGCATGGAAAAAAGTGATTTATGACCATTGCAGCATCCCCACGGTCACTTGATCAAAATCTGACCAGTTGGCAACTGGCTCATATGTATGATGGTTGCTGTGTCCCAAGGTATCACCTTTTGCGACTTTCTGACCAGCAAAGTCAATGGGGAAGCCAGATTCACTTAACAACCATAGCAAGAAAAGTTATACAATGGGGTAAAACTCACTTAACAACTGTTTCACTTAGCAACAGAGAATTTGGGCTGAATTGTGATCATAAGTTGCGACTATCTGTAATTATAAACTTTGAATTTTAATGACATGGAGCAATGGCAAATTAAATTCCTTTCCTATCCAACCTATTGACATGTCATTGGAATCACCACATTGATATGCCACTAATTTTGCATACAGAAAAAAAGAAATTCAGCCACCTATTTCTGCAGACTGAGCTAAAATGAATACCTGACTATTAGCAGAATCACTACCACACAATATTTAATGGTAGGAAGGAACGGTATCTGAGAACAGGCTCTCAGGGTAAGGAGAGCAAATTTTTAAGCAGTGTTAGCATTTCTTTTAATAAGAAAGGATAAATGTATAAGTACATACAGAACATTTGAAAAGCCATATTTTTCTAGTTCATTTTGTCCAATTATAATCGGAAGTAGCTGTACAACAGGTTTTAATTCACTAGTAGCTTAATTAAGAAGACTGTGATATTCCAACAGCACATAATTTGTTACAATTCTTCCCAGCTGCTTCTGTTAATTAAAAGTAGTAAGTAACACTTTAGGCAGTGGTATAATTTGCAAGACTAGGAACTAAATCTATGAAAATAAAGCACTCTTTGGTGGATAGTAATTTAGAAATATATGATAAAAATCCTAATAGAATTAGGATAGTTAATATATGCAAAGAGCAATCATATTATTGGGGAGAATGAAGGGAAGAAGAGTACACTTTCCCAATTTCTTTCCATCATAAGAGAAAACCATTTTGGATGAAAATTTATACATCAAACAAATAATATATGCACTCCCCCATCAGTTGTTGGACAGAGGATTAAATGATTGCCATCACATTTTATCCCTAAGCATTATACAAAAAAAGTAATCTTGATAAAAGAGATATTAGACAAAAGGCTAAATTTTACAGGCCATTATTAAAGCAGTAAAAAAAAAATCATTGTAGTGACAATAAATTAACACTCTTGTATAAGAGCTAAAATAGACCACTTTTTAAAAGAAAAAAAAATCAATCTTCAATGTTTTAATTGAAAACAATGTCTCTTTTTTTCTCTCTGCATTCTCTTGAATTTTCATTGTTCAACGTAGCACACTTCTCGTCCTTGGCTTAGGGGTAGTGCTGAAATAATAAAGAGATATATAAGATACGTATATAAATACCAGTTATAAATGAATGATTTAACCATCATAACAACCAGTGATGACTAAGCCAGCAAATAAACCAAAAACATCTTAGAGGAGGGAAGGGGTGATTGAAAGGCTAAATTTCTGCAAATAATATAACAACAACAACACAGGTCAGCCACTCAGGTTACATTGTTAGAAAACAAGCTCAGATTCATGAAGAAAAAGCAGTGGGGTAAAAGTACCATAAGCGTATTTGTTGTAAAGCCTCCCCTTTCCTTCTTTCCCTCTTTCCCTCTGAGGCATGAGACTGTGGGAAAAGTAGAAAAAAAGTAAAGAAAAAAAAAATTTTTTTTAAGTGGTTAGGATTAAATACATTATGCTCTGTTACTTCATTCATCTTTCAATTTAAATCTGGAAGTCAAGCGCAACTGGCATTGTTAGAAGCAAGTAGTGGCCTTTTGAAAGGTTAAAAAAAACACCACATTTTAAAAACTGTTACTTTAAAAATACTAGAATAAGTGAAAGAAAGCCAGCTCTATTTAAATAATAGGGTTAACACTTACTGTGTTTTCGTTCCTATTCTTCAAGTCTCTTAAAATCCATCCTCTCTCCACTCATTGTCTCAACATAATATCTTGTTCCCTAAAGCGCTAACTGAAGCAACAAGGGATGACTCTTTCATTTGTAGTATTGGGTTCCAGCCAATTTCGAGAGAAAGAGGGGAGGGAGTTATTTAAATACTCTTGAAAATTATGTTCTATGAGCTTAAGATTCCAGTTTTAAAGCTGACTGATACATCTATATACCTCTGAGGGTTTCGTCTTATATTAATACTATTTGTGAACAACAATCATATGTATAAAGCACTTTATCACATTAATAGCTATCTCTAATGATAATAGGATCTCTAGATTGACATCAGCAGGACTATCTTATCATAACACAGCATCTCCCTTTCCACAAGGGGGAGCTCTTTTCCTAAGCATCAGGAAACATTCAAGATTATCCACGAATAAACTGATAAACTAAATGCACCAGGTTTTTCTAGGGACTTTAGTGTTGTTTGGTCTAAATCAATAATAAATGGAATGTCTTTGTGATGATGCCCATTCAGCGCCTGTCTATTTTTCCATGCTTTTATCAATTTTTGTCTGCTTTATAGGAATCTACATGAATAATTTCAGAATGCCTGGATGCTTTGGATAATCACAGCTTTTTGCACTAGCATGATATAAGCACACACATTTATAAATTATAATACATTTTGACATGAGGAGTGTTATTCTTTTTCATTTCTAGACAGAACGAAATGGTAATCTTTAGTTTTAAATTAGAGAGAGAAAGAATGCTAGTAAGGGGTACATGAAATAAAGAAAAGCTTCAAAAATAATTACTTTTCAATAGTTTTCCAAACACAAAGTTACTTGCTTTTGTGCTAGTTCTCAACTCCTTTATATTTAAAACCGTGTTCTGTAATCCATTTAAAACCATGGTTGGCAGATTAATTGCTGATTACTTGATTTGGTACTCCAGGTAAACTATTGCTAGAAAAAATATGGCAACGTCTAAGTCTGTAATCTACTGTATATACTATTTAAAACTCTGTTTATTAAACAGTAAAATGGGTGAAACGGTCATCATAGGGCAAAACGTTTTCAAGCACAATAACTTAATGTGCTAAGTTACAGAGCGTGTCTGAAATCCAGGACCCATGTCTCCCATGGGACTGAAATTTGCAAATTTTATAAAACTTTTATGACATAAAATTATGATAAATCATTTCATTATATAATACAAATGTCATAAAATTTTTCCCTGTGGTCAACTCCTGGAAGTTTGAGTCTGTTATACAATAGTTCAACATGGGTTATTTTCAAGGCAGATACATTCTCTAAGTAGCTTCCTGAAAAAAAATTAAGAATTTTTCAAGTCCATTAGAAGCTCTGCTATTGTTGAAGGCACCGAGGAACCTGGTAGGGAAATCTGTTTGGGAAGGTGACCTAAGGGGCATTGTCCAGTACATTTCTAACGGGCCAAAACAAAGGTAAATCACACAATCAAGTCTCCATTACATCTTAAGAATAAAAGCAACTGTTTTGGGCATTCGGGCAGCAATAGCTGTTTTCTCTATAATGGAGTCAGCTGAGATGGTCACACAGAAGAAAAGCATCCTGTGTTAGAAAGTCCAGGATGATTCCCATCCTCCTACTACAGAGAGCTTTGCCTAGTCACAACATTCTTGTAATACTATGGGGGGAAACTTTTGCATTCCAAAAAGTATTATTATGAAACTAGAACTGACTATTTTCAATCGGATATCCATCGGGAGTGCTTTTTCTCCCCAAAGAAGACTGGAAGCCAATCTGCAGCTGCTCTCCCCCATTCCGAGGGTCTAAACCAGGGGTGTCAAACTTAAGGCCTGCTTAAATCCGGCCCATGGGGCCGGCCTGGAAATATCAAGGGACTGGCCTGTGGTGCCTCTGGCGACTAAAATGGGCCATGTGTGACCCGCCCCCCCAACCTCATTTTTATCCTCCATGGCCTTCTGTAGCACTCTGCTGGCTGAAACCAGGCCGAAAAAGAGGCCCAAAATGGGCTGAAAAATGGGCCCCAAACGGCCCATGTGGCCTATTTTGGGCTGGCAGAGTGCTGCTGGAGCCATGGGGGGGGGGGGAACGAGGTGCAGGGGAGCAGGTGCAGACCCCCCATTCCCCGTTTTGGCTGGCAGGGTGCTCCCCACACACACAGAGAATTACAATGCTGATCTGGCCCTAAAAGAAATTCAGTTTGACACCCCGATCTAGATGGGGTGAAATGGGTTGAAACTCAAACCAAACAAAACTAAGTAGCTTTGGGTGATTGGGCATTCCAATACCAAGTTTTTCCATCTCTCATCTTGGATGGGGTGGCACTGTCTCAAATGGACCTGGTGCACAATCTGGGGGTCCTCTTGGGCTCAGCTCTTATTGGAAGAGGAGTCAAGTTGTGTGCCTGTTCTACCCATTCCTAGACTAGGAGGCTCTACTCACTGCTCCCAATTGGACTATTGCAATTCTGTCTACATGGGACTGCCTTTGAGCAGTAGTCGGAGGCTTCAATTGGGGTTGTAAATGATGTTGGCTATTTGCACATATAACACTAGGCTGCATTGGTTCCCAATGTTTCCAAGTGCAATGCAAGGTACTTTAAAAACCTTCATGGCTTGAGACTGAGTTTCTTGAGTGGTTGTCTTTTCCCAGTTACTTCTACCCATCCAATCCAGTCTGGAAGATTAAGCACACTCCTGGTTCCCATCAGCCAAGGAATGTTGGCTGGTAGGAAATGGAAGGCATGCCTTTTCTGCTGTAGCTCCTGCCTTCTGGAACATTCCTCCCCCTCCAGAGATTAGGGTGGCTAGCTTTTCAGAGAGTTTAGAGGGCCTGGCTATGTGTCCAGGCCTAGGGTTCCAAATTTGTGAACGATGGCATTTCTTGTTATATTGATATCAGTGGAAGGTAATATCTCTTGGCTGCTACTTGTATCTAAATCCCCTTTTTTGTATTATCGGTTTCAATTGTTTTTATAACTGAGTCACTGGTTTGAGTTGAGCAGCTATACAAATTGAATGAGTAAACTACATTCACAGAGACACACAGCAAATATACACACACACACACACACACAACATTTAAAGAAAAATAAAAACCAACAAAAAGTAATGCAGAATAAAGAAAACAAAAAAACAGAAAAGTGCAAAAAGAAAAGAAATAGAAAGAAGCTCCTGATTTTTCCTGCAGCAAAACATAAGCATGATTAAACTTATCTTACTTTAGTACAAAAAGCTCACTTTTTTCTATTACCCATTTTTTTTCTAATCATCAAAACCACAAGTCATTAGTGCATTTTTTTCTGTTTCATATAAAAAGTCTATAAGGGGTTTCAGTCAACCATAAATGTAGAAACTGTTTTTTCTTTAATCAAAGAAGGCAATTTAGCTATCTCTGCAAGCTATATTCCGCCATCTTCAGCAGCCATTCCTCTATTATGGGTAACGTCAAACCTTACCACTACTTAGTTAATTTTCCATTACACTGACAACTATGACAGTCAGAACAAATTAGGATATATACCTATTGAAAACAGTCAAAAGAAAGATATATGTATACAATGCAACTTACATGATGTATCTGAAGCAGTCCACAGAGAAAAAGTAGAATTAAACAAAAGAAACCACCATGGCAAATTTAGTGTATATTGAAAATAATTAAAATTATAAATATATTGTAAAATAGAAAAAAAACTGTATCACAGATAGATAGCCTAAATCTATACAGCAACCAAAAGCATAGGATGAACTAAGGCTAGCAAGGATGCTAAGAACCAAGAATGTTGGAGGGTTTTTTGGGGATGGGTGTGGGTGGGAGGGAATAGGTTCAAAATGGAAAAGTATATTTGCTCAACAAAGGAAGGCAAAACATTAGCACGTATAGTAGCAATAATAAAAGACAAAGCCTTTTAAACTCTTGTTTTGCTTCAGTCTTAATTTTCCATTACACTTTTCATTCTGCCAGGAAACTGAACATTTAAATATGCAGGGTCTGATGAATTACATCCTAGATCATGGAAGAACAAGTTGAAGGTCCTGATAGAACCACATGTATTATGTTTGATGATATATTGTGGACAAATGCCAGATGAGTGGAACTGCGTAAATGTCCTAATCTCCATAAAGAGTCAAAGGAGGATTCAACCAATCACAAACCAGTGAGTCTGACATTGACTTTTGTTAAGGCGCTTCATTAAAAACATAAATTAATGGTTGCTTTTAAAAAACAATACTGGCAGTCCTCGACTTACAACAGTTCTTTTAGTGATTGTTCAAAGCTACAATGGCACTGAAAAAAGTGACTTATGACCATTTTTCACTTATGGCTCTTGTTGCATCCCATAATTTACATTTGGATGCTTGACAACTGGCTCATATTTATGACAGATGCCGGGTAATGTGAACACCTTTTGTGATCTTTTGACAAGGAAAGTCCGTGGGGGAGGCAGATTCACTTAACTACCGTGTTGCTAACTTAACTGCAGTGATTCACTTAACAAATGTGGCAAGAAAAGTTGTAAAATGGGCAAAATTTACTTATATTTCTCACTTAGCAACATAAATTCAGGTCTTGATTGTGGTTGTAAGTCGAGGACTACCTATATGTTAGTTTTCAGACGTCAGAAACTTATTTTTTTACCTGTAGCAGATTGTGCTGTAGATATTATATACCATTACTTCAGCACAACATTTGATAACATGCCATGTTATGCATGACACAAGAATTAATTTGATGCTTAACTGGCTTAAAATTTGTACTCTGAGAAAGCTGATCACTGGTTCTGCATCAGATAAATGAGATGCCATAAACTTCAGATTTTCACCAATTATTTGGGTGATAAGGTGGATAAAATGCTTATCAAATTTGCAGATGATACAAAATTGAGTGAGATAGCTAGTACTTTAGAAGACAGAAATAAAACCTGAGAGTATTTTTTGTAGAAAAGAACAGCTTAGAGAAAACTGTCAAAGGTAACAGACTGGAACTTAATAGAATCAAGTGCAATAAAATAAATATGAACCAGCAGTGGCCCCATAATTATTTGATTATATTCTGTTATGGTTAAAGTACTCTATCATGTTCCGGCCATCACACTTCATTGATTCAGTGAAAATCAGAAAGGTTCAAAGAAAGACAATGAAAACAATGAATTCAAAGACTCCAGGAGACTAGAAATGAAGCCCTATGAAGAATGACTTAAGTAGTTGGGTATATATAACCTTCAGAAGGGACAATTGAAGGTGACATTATGGTGTGCTTCAAATAGTTGAAGGTTATCATCAAAATATCAATGCCTGTTTCGTCTTCCTCTATAGTTCAAAAGGTGGAACCATGAATTTAAATTTACAAGAGATAAAAATATTAAAAATAGAAGTGCTTCAGCAACAGAATAAATTATAAAGAAATGAGTCCCTTTTCCTTGGATGTGTATCTATATAATAATCTGCCTGGGATACTTAATTTGGATTCCTGCACTAAGCAGGAGGTTGGATTTGATGGCCAAAATACCCCAATCTAACTTTATGCTATTTTTAAAAAAGGCAAAAAATGTGAGAACTGACAATTCCGTGTAGTTAAAATTTATTAAATAATGGTGGAAATGGAACAAATAATATTAAGGTGCAAAGAATTCCACATACTGATGCCTCTATGGCAGGGATGTCAAACTGGCCGCCTGCAGGCCGGAAGTGTCACATGCAGGCCATGCCCACCCCAGCTCCACAAAGGGGAAAAGCATCGCGAAACATCATGTGACAGCAATGTGACACAGCAAGTTTGACACCCATGCTCAATGGTAACAGGAAAGCATTCAGAAAGATTACTAGAAATATCAAACTCTCTGACAACCTTCTATTAAGTGGTAAATGATCTATGATAATGGATCATGAATTTGAAATGTACAGTTAGGCAAAGTTTTTTGAAATAATAACAAATTCCAGGAATATAGACAATTTTTATCAAACTTTTGTTTCATGGTTAAGAAAATTTAATGTCTTAGCACCATGGGACATGCCAGCCAAATAAAGTCATCAAAGTAAAATCTTTTTCTTTTATAGGTAATCTCTGGGTTAAGAATGAGATCTGTTCCTAAATCTATCTGTAACTCTGATCTGTATGGAAGTTGGAACTTGTAAGTACGAACAGATTGCCTGTTACTAAAGATGGTGGAAGATGTTCTTTTTTCTTGAGTTATGAAATCACACAATATCTTGATAAATCACTGAAAAAGGCTACATATTAAAAACCCATCGGACTTTTTTCAACTAACTCTATTCTCAAAACCTCTGAGCATAGTGAGAGACTAAACTCCTTTTGCATGAATATTGTATTCACAAAGCAGTGGAAATAACTTTTTATAAGGAGTTATATTACAAGAGTCATTCAAAATATTCAACTAAATACACACACACACACACACACACACACACTTATGCTGAGTCTATGTAATTTGAAAAGGAACTTATTTTATTTTCTAGGCTATTCCTTGGAAAAAAAATTCTAACTCCTTTTTATTGGACTTGCTCTTGTAATTGAGGATGATAATGTACAAATTTCACAAAACATACAAGACAGAAATTCCAAATTAATTTCAGATAGTTCAGATATTAATTCAGTTTTCCAATCCCATGCAAAGAATGTGCTGAACTTTTCAGAGATAACATTAAACCATGATCTAGCTTTGCATTCATATCAGCAATCTTATGTCTACCAATTATTTCTTTTTTGTGCCTACCTTGAAGTGTGAAAAGTTGTGGTTCCTTTTTACTAGTCTAACTATGCTTTACTACCACAGCCCAAAAAAATGATTTTAAATGAATTATGAAAATGTAAAAATAAGCCTTCATTAATTGATAGGGTCTGGAATTCAGGACAGCAATTCTCACCTTTTAAAACTGCTTTTTCTTGCAGTAGACCTGGTAGTTCTTTTAGAAAGGCCTGCACTGTCAGAAATGCTAGGTTTAGACTGTTTACTTTTCTGAACACTGGATTGCAGAATTACTCTGAAAAGAGTGGGAAAAAGATATTATATCAAACAAGCTGAAAACATATAATGCACAGTAAGATTGATATATTATGTGGTTTCCAGATCTGAAAATTGGGATAGTGTGAACAGATTTATTTAGTCTTCATGTTTTAGGTTTTTATAGGTTTCAGTGAAAGCATCAGTATTTCCAACTTTTGGGGGGGGCTTAGGGCTTCTCAGAAAGAAAAATAAGTTTTTTTTAAAAAAAATGTGCCAAAAACATTACAAAAGATCAAGAATCAGCTATATGCATATCTATATACTCTTCAACTATCAAAATGATGAATGAAAAAAACTCTCTGAGAATTTTAGTGGTATACTAGAAGGCAAATGTATCCACATATCAATTGCACACTTACATATTTCACAGAAAAGACAAAATGAACTGGTGTACTGTACTCTTGCAAAGCTATGAGGGTAGTTTTATATTCCCCCCACCCAAATTCCCTCTTTCCCACCCCAAATGTCAGTGGAAAGTAGGGTAATTAACAAAGGTTTGCATCATCTGAATATTTGCATCATTGTAAATAAGAAGTATTCCATAGAAAAATTATGTACTTATACGTTTCTGTCCACCATACATCATCAATTGATGTACAACAAATTAACTGTGAATGTCCAGACAAAGATGCTATGGTTTGAAAAAGATTTCAAAATTCAATAATCCTACAGGCAGATGGAAGTGTAGCAGACCTCTCCTTCTACTTGCAATCTACTATGGAACCCAAAATTTGCCTCAAAAATGTGCAAAAGGGTACTGGGGCTGAGGGTAGAATTGACCAAAAGAAAAAAATATATTCCCCCCCCCCTTCATAATGGAAGCATCACTAAATCTAAATTCTTTCTGCTAAAGTTAAAAAAAATGCCCATTCACAGAAGGCTTGTTCTGAATCTAAACTAGCCTTTTCCACAGTGGAGCCTTCCATAGGTGTTAACCCAATTACCTGGAATTAGCTAGCCAGCATGCCCATTGCTGAAAATTCCAGAATTTGAAAGGCATGTGGCATGGGTATCAAACTCGCCACATCATGGTGCTGTCATGTGATGTATCACAACGTTTTTCCGTTTGCGGAGCTGGGGTGGGCGTAGCCTGCATGTGACACATCCACCTCACGGGCCGCCACTCTGACACCCCTGGCATATGGTTTTCAAATTCTGCATGGTGAAACTGCAGGGTAATAGTGAGTGGTGGCATAGTAGTTAGAATACAGTATTGTATTCTAATTCTGCTGACTGTCAGCACTTGGAATCTGACCAGCTCAGCCGGATTCCATCCTTTTGAGGTCAGCAAAATGAAGACCCAGATTGTTGGGGGCTATATGCTAACTCTGTAAGCTGCTTATCATGGTTGAAGAAGGCTAATCTAAGTATTCAATGAAACTTCCCTTTTAGAAGGTCACTGCTACTTTGCTATCCCCATTATTTTGTTATTTTCAACTTGAGAAACAGAAAGAACTTTTTACTTTTTCCAACCACAGTTGGCAGTTAATCAGTGGGAAGTTGTGGATCCAACACTGGAGGTTTTTAAGAAGAGATTGGACAACCATTTATCTGAAATGGTATAGGGGTTTTCTGCTTAAGCAGGGGATTGGATTAGAAGACCTCCAAGGTACCTTTCAACTGTTATATATATAAAAAATAATTCATGGGTATGTATTTATTTAACTTCTAGATCCCAATAATCCCTTCAAATGTAGGAAATCTATTTCTAAATTTATTTTTTAAAAAATACTGAGCTTTCAATAAGTATACTTTAAATCATGGATTCCCAACCTTTTGGCTTGCCTGGACTGCACTGAGTGAAGACAAATTGTCTTGGGCCATATATAAAATATATAATACAGTTAATGTATATAAATATCTCTAAAATCACATGATGTCAAAAGCTAACAATCTTGTGGGGTCACATTACTAGATGTCTAGGGTTGCATGTGACCAGCCATGGATTGGATACCCCTGCCTTAAATATTAGTCTTTCCTCCACAAAGTAACAAAAATCTCAAGAGAAATTGGAGATGGCAACAGTTTTCTTCCAGCAATAAACTACAATATTCTATCCCGCAAATTCTGCTAATTTTTAAATGAGCAACATCTATTCATGACTACCACTGCAATGAAAATTGCAAAGAATAGTTAATGATTAAATGACTCATTCCCCTTGGTAACAAGTTACTGAGTTGGGAGTGAATATTTCATTATTGATATAGTCAAGAATGAGAAATGGAATTATTCATCCCCAGGAAACCTGACATTAATGTTTCAAATACCTTACACAATACATACAGTAGAAATGTCACATATTTTGCAATTTTTAAAATAAATATACAAAATGTGCTATCTTTCAGTAATAACAATTCAAATAAAATGATGAGCAGTTTTCTCAATATGAATATAATCTGGTTATGCATTAGAGCATATTATCAGAATCAGAAAAAGAGAAGAATTCTGAGTTAAATATTACAACAAAACAGAAGATGGTAAATACAAGATTCTAAGACAAGTATAGAAAAATGTGAAATATTCCAAAGAATCATTAGTAGGCACAATGTTCAATGATTAATATGCCTAAATATAATTCAAATAATTTTACTGTCCTGTTAACCATATTTGTTACTATCCAAATAAGAAAATAAAAGCAAAAAATATAAGGGACAGAAACGGGGGGACAGCACACTGACAAGGTCACATGTGGCTCTTGTCCCCCTAAGTAGCTGAGAAATTAAACTATCAAATTATCTGCCGTAGGACACTGCAGAAGAAGGAAAGGGCATGCTTGTGACAACAATGTGGAAAGCTAGAAAGATATAGATATAGCTGGAAAGATATAGAGGGAGAAAAATAAACTTTGGTTGAATCTTAGCCAAGAATGAGGGGCTATGTATTTTATGACTTGAAAGATTATAATACTAGATTAGGATCTGCTGCCCTGAACAGATTTGGCTGACAATCTGGGAATTGTCCCAGATTCATCGCTCCAGCTGAAATAGTACCTGGAGGCTGTGGCTAGCAGGTTCTTCATTAATTGCACCTTGTGCATGAAGTGCAGCCATTTCTGGATCAAGGAATTTTGCACAGAGTCAATCATTTTACAGATGGACTACTGCAACCTCATCTTCCTGGTCTATCTTAGAAGAACATTCAAAAAGTTCAACTAATATAGTAGTTGTATAGTTGTGAGTACCCCTGTGACAGTATGACAGTACTTTGGCAGGTACAACGCCTGCCAATTAGCTTTTAGGTGCAACTCAAGATGCTATTTTTCAACTTTAAAACCCTTATGGCTCAGACATGGATACCTACGAGACCACATTCTCTGGATTGAACACCCAATAAAATTAGGTAATTTGAGCTTTCTGAAGATCCCTTTCTTCATTGACTATTGACTTTGAGTTAAACTTTGTTAGTGATGACCCCTTTGGAACAGTTTACCTGTTCTCCTCCCAATACCGGGTTTCCGAAAGGCTATGAAGACCTGGATCTTTGGGAAGATATTTGGGAATATGGAGATTTTGCCAAACATCATGGGATGACATTTCACCTGTTGTTTTCTTGGGTGCTTATACATTTGCTTTTTTTTAATTCGTAACATTTGTTTTGGGGGTTTATAAACTTCTTACAGTCTATGGGAATTTGGCAGCATAGAAGCCTCAGTCAGTCAGACAAACAGTCAGTCAGTCAATAAATAAATATGAATATAGTTGTGGACTTGGCCCCTCTCTTAGTATTCTATTCAGTACTTCAGTATTCTTAAGACTAAAAACGCTGCCCACTGATGGTCTAAAATAACAGCAATCTAAAAAATGTTTACCTTTTTCATTAATTACTTTGTGTACAACCAAATACTGTGTTGACTAATTGGAATGCTCCAATTACTTCAAAGCATTCATGGGGGGAGGAGAGGAAGGAAAGGAAAAGGGCATACAAGCACTCCTTGTTTAGCAACCATTTGCAAATACTACTGTAATAAATCATTCATTTTCTGACCGATGCATGCATTTATCACCAAATTTCATGTGCTTGGCAACAATGCAAGCCAGTAAAGAGTAATGCTGGCAGAGCCGCAAGAGATAACTTAGCTGAATGAGATGGAAACAACAATGACCTTCATCTCCTCCCTCCCTCCCCTTTAGTCACCTATTTAATTAGTGATCATTTCACTTAATAACTGGTCACTGGAAATGAACTTGGTCATTAAGTGAGGAGTGGGAATATAACAGAACTATAGCACTGTATGCCTAGATTATGGACTTATTTGTTTATAGCTCTTCACACTTATGGAGTTAAAACACACATCAGCAGGTTCAACCCCAAAGGATTCCAGAATGAGACTATACACGCAGACAAAAGGAAGCAAGCCCACCATACATTAAAAACAGCACCACACATATGTTTTCACAAAAAAAAAAAAAATATCTGGACCAGCACACAGACAAGAAGAGACTTCCAGCTCAAAAGAAAATTCTAAAGCAGATAAATCACCCCTTGTACTACAGCCCTTTTTGCCTCTAAAAGTACCTAAAAAGTTAAATGAAGGGGGGGGGGCAGGGGGGAGAGGGTAATAAAAGCTGGATGCAATGTACTTATGATTAAGGCAAGAAAATGAGCTACTGAAGAGAATGTAACAGGGACACTTACACAGTGGCTCTCCCAAGGGAGGTTCTGATGGACCTATGTTCTTAAACCATCTAGACAGAATAGCAGGTTGGGAAGAAGGGAGCCACACACAATCCACCAGATGACAATGCTACTCAGAGCAGAGGCCAGTATAGCTAGGAGACATCTAAAAAGGAGCGAGGGTGGGGAGGAAGAGATGAACATGAAGTCAAAAGGGGATGGGGAAATCAAGAAGTTTGCAGATGTGTGGTACATTTCATCTAAAAGAAATGTCTATTAATTTTCACTATGGAAAATGTTTTCCATTCACTGGGCAAAGGCTAGCTGTTTTTTAAAGAAGTACCTTTGTCATTATTCTGCAACTCACTCTCACCTTAAAGTGTGAATTATTCCTAGACTGGTTCAATACTGTTTTTTTTAAATACCCAACCATCTCCTTATTTACAAAATGACCTTCCAATATCAAATGCACTCTGTGGGTGGATTAACAGAGTAAATCTATTCTACGTATATTACATTTTACCTATACTGTACACACAAAATATAGCACTGAGGAAACTGTTGTTTTTCAATATTTAAATGTGTATCTTAAAAGCATAGCATTTTTAATCGGTTATGCTTATGCCCTAATAAAAGCAAACTTACCATACCCATTTAAAGATACAGCACAACCCATCCCAGCACAAGGGCTGGCATGACAATAGCTTCCTAAGCAAAGATCCCTAGAAAGAAGGTTATTCTGACCAAAATAATAAGTCCAACCTTTCATTCAGGAGTCATTTTCAATACCGCTGATGTTGCTAACAAAACTTAAAAATGCTTTGAGATGTTGGTGTAACATTCAGTTTAAAAAAGCATTTGAGAAAGGTTTCATGTACGTCTTAGTGATAGACCAAAGAATTTGATAATAATAAAATGAAATCACGAGCAGGCTTCTAAGTGATTCAATCACAAAGAACTACAGCGATCTTTTTAAAGTAACACAGAATGTAACCAAATCAAATTTCAAAGGAACAAGTGTTTGTATTTACAAAATCAAAATAAAGTTAAACTTACGTTAATGGAACTGAATATGCTTTTGCCTGCCTTTTACTTTTAAGGGCACGGAGCTTGTCCCCTTGTGTTACTGTGTGTGTTTCTTCTTCATCACTGTACTGCAAATAAATGGTTAAGTCATTAAAGTTATTTATAACAAAGCTTCCAAGTCCTACTACTGAAGAATCATATTTACCACAATACTAGTAAGGTGTGGATTGTTTTACCCAGTTCCAACAGTTCTTATGAAAATGTTCTGAGCATTTTATTTTAGTTTTTGTTAATGTGAAGGTCAAATCAATAAGACAAAAGGTAAACCTGAGCAGCAGAAAAGAGGCATTTTGGCAAAAAGTACTATTTTGCCCATACTTGTCTTGCAGAGTGTCCTATTCATTATTTTCTCTATTTTTGGAATGCTTGATAGGAACAGAAATACAGAACAGCCATACAAATGAATCCAACCACTTTTGCTTTATTATACCCACATTAAAAAAAAGAAACAGTCCTACGGTTTCCAACAGCACACCATGCGGATGATTACCGGTTCAGAATCTTTTCTGCTGGCATTCTGATATTTTGAATCATTAATTGAAATGTCATCTACTCCCGAAAGGATTTTTGTCACTGCAAGCTTTTGAGTCTTCTTTAGCTTTGAACGATAAACATCACCTTCCAGCCACATTTCTGACTGTTTCCTATAACAGAAAGAAGCTGTTAGAAACCAGCTCATTTCAATGTATGACTATATTTATCATTCAAATCAAGTTGTTTCAGTATCAGACATTAATCGTTGCAAGGACACAGATATAACATCAATTCTAGTTCTAGCATCATGTTTCCTAGAAATTATACAATGCCACTACTGAATTGCATGCAACTATTTCTGTCTTCCATCTGTCTTCCACCCATTTTGCTCTAACAAAAGTGTCCGCTATAATGGAAAAGGCCATGACTGCCTTTTTTTTCCTTTGTGCCTCTTCCAAAATGTTGAGCTACTGGGACAATATGAAGCCTGGTGAGATGCAGAGGCTCAGCAAAAGCCACCCTCACCCCTAATCAGCAAAAGCTTGGCTTTTTGGGGTATAAAGACCTACCAGAAAAGACAGAGTGATACCTAATGAAATGTGATTTTGAAAATGAATGCTAAATTTTACTTTTCAGTGTTAAAGAGAACATATTTAATAAGCAAAACTGACCATATGGAATGATACACTTGCAACCATAGCTATAATTTAGGATAATGCACTGATTAATCCATTATCTTGTTATACAAGATTTGTTGATTAACTATAAAGTCATTGACTGGATTCATATGTTAAACCAAATGCATAAACAATATTATGGGTTAATAGGCCTGAACCTAGTATTTTTAACCTAATGTGGCAAAACACATTGAGCCACTGAATAGACATGGATAATTCTGACCAAACAGTGGCAATTGCAGATTGTTTATAATGCAGTGCCTCATTCCATTCAGAACTTAAAGTAATGATCAGTTCCTTAAAAAGCAAACAACTAGTCACTCTCTATATGTCTATATGGTTCAAACATCCAATGATAGCTGTAACATATGCAGGTCGTCCTTGTTTATTGACCATTTGCAGTTACAACACTGATGAAAAAGTACCTTTACAATCAATCCTCATATTTATGACCTTCGCAAATCTTGCAAAGCAAAGCTGAAGATCATAACATTATGACTTAGTGATCAAGTTGCTGATCCCAATAGTCACTAAATTAGGACTACCTACTGTACGTGAGTACATTAACATTTATTTCATATGTATTTGTGTATGTATTGATGTGTATATATATATATATTGAAAAAAGGACAACTATTATACATTTAAGTGAAGCTAAGGCCTAGAGTAGCTTTCTTTAAAGTTGGTACTTTCCAGACACGAATAGACTGTAATTCCCTTCATCAATGGCCAGGCTAGACAACATATATGGATTAAAGAGATCTAGTTTGGTACTAAAAATGATTATTATATTTAACACTTAATCATCCTGGAATTGCATACAGACATAAAAAGAGGCATCCCTATTTAAATGTTTACATACTCTAACAAAAAATGTTGTTGAGTTCCAATCACAGAACCAGGTCTACAAATTCTAATCCAGGCAATAGTTTCAGCAGCAGTCATCCTGTAATGCTTCATAATGTAACACGCTATAAGTGTACCAGTTCTGCCAAGTCCAGCTGTATAAAAACATAAGGAAATTTACTTTATTTGAGATTGAAGAAATTGAAGAAACTTCAATTCAAAGTTTTAAGAATAGGACAACCTTGAAAACTGTCTTTCAAAAACCTAAGGTGGGTTTGAATTTGCCATTAGGGAAAAAAATCCTAAAAACTGTATTAGACCAATTCAGGATAACAAAACTAATATACAACCTTTGAGAGGTTTTGAAGTTTTGTATAAGTAGTAATCTACACTATCATTCATTTGTACAAATAATTTTGATTGAAAATACTTCGAACAATTACATGCATCTACTGTAAAATCAGGCTTCTAGCAGAACATATTAACATTTCATAACTTGCATTTCATGCATATTAGATTAGCATACTTCCATACATATAATGGCAAAGACAGGTTCATTAGATTTGTAGCAAGAGACCACAACAGTTTAGCCTAAGACAGAATAGCCTCTTATCTTCTAAGAATGATAAAAGTATGCTCGGCTATGATTAATTTCAACTTTTGAGTGAAATGATCTAATTTTGATCAAACTCATAAAAAATACATCCTGAGGCAGCATTCAGAGAGCCAACTGATGTGTTCTACAGGGGTTGATAAGGCATGTTATGAACACAGTTATAAGCAATGAGACATTAATGATCTGAATTCATCACTTTAATACCTTTGCAATGAACTGCTATAGCACCTTCAGCGTTCTCACAAATATTCAGAAATGCTTTGATGATAGCATCATTAGGTATGCTTCCATCAGCAAAGAAGAGATCATAATGGTCAAACCCTGCATCTTTAAATCTTCTAGAGTCATACATTTTCTTATTCAGGCGGATTACAGTGGTAACATTATGTCTTCTGAAGTATGGAAAATAGGCTTCGGGAGCATGATGTGGATACCCTTGAAGGAAAAAACAAGTGCAGAAAAATATGTCAGATATAAACCATTAATAAAAGAGCATCCAAAGGTGTTTTTCGCCACAAACATTCAATTTGATAAGGGAATATTCTGCCGTAAATATGAGGCAGCTGCAGCTCCCAGATTGATCAATAGTCTGATTCTGTATCTGGTAGTTTCCTATGGCAGAGCTCGCCAACCAGTGGTCTGAGGACCATTGATGGTCCATGAGAAAATTTTGGTGGTCCGCAGCGCACCCGTGTCTGCAACAGGGGAGATACCGGTGGTGGATGGACTGATGTGCGCAGGGAGGGAGGGTAGTGCACGGGAGGTCGTGGCATTGGAGCCCTTCCCGGCTGTTCCCTGGCCTGCAAGGGGGGGTGCGATCTCCTGTGCCCCTCCCCCAGGAGCCGCAAAGCACTTGCCGCCCCTCTGGCAGCTGCCAAGCCTCCTCCCATCGTACTTCTCTTCCTCCTTGCCAGAAGTGCTCACATGTTCAACGGGAAGGAGGTGGCTTGGTAGGTGCCAAGGGGGCAGCGAGCGCTTTGCGGCTCCTGAGGGGAGGGGTCGAGCCTCCCCCTCACAACATCTTCACCTGAGGGCATCGTTGTCAGCCGCTTTCTGCAGCTCAGGAGGTCCGCGCTCTTCTCGCTGCTGCTTGACCTCCTCGATGCGCGGAGGCAGGAGGCAGCAGCCATGACACTGGTTTGCTAGGGAGACTGCAGGTTTGTCCCACCTCTGCGCCAGCCATGTGGTCTTCAGCATGTGGCTCATCGGCCTCCGGACATCAGACTCCCACCACCCAGCACCAGTTCAGAGGTTCCTTCCCCCCTCCCCCGGAGACAGAGAGAGAGAAAACACACAGAGAGAGAAGAGCGAGAGTGAGAAAGAGAGAGGGAAAGAGAGGGAGAGACAAGACAGAGAGAGATAGGGAGAGAGAGGGGAGAGAGGAAAAGAGAGAGACAAGACACAGAGAGAGAGAGAAAAAAGGGAGAAAGAGAGAGAGAGAAAGAGACAAGATACACACAGAGAGAGAAAGGGAGAAAGAGAGAGAGGGAAAGAAAGAGCGAAAGAGACAAGACAGAGAGAGAGAGGGGCAGAGAGAGAGAAAGACAAGAAAGAGGGAGAGAGAGAAATAGAGAAGGGAGGGGGGAAGCAAGAGAGATCCTGATGTTTTGTTTTCTGTGGGAATGGGTTCAGAGTATTCAAGGTTGCAGAAACAAGCAACCAAGCTAAGTGCCTGAAGCACCCCATCCCATCAGTGGGAGTCCAGGCGCTTCAGTGAGCGGCATGCTGGATTCGTAGTGGCCCACGGGATTTAAAATTATGAATTTGGTGGTCTCTGAGGTCCAAAAGGTTGGGGACCCCTGTCCTATGAAATGTCATAAAACTCTTTATAATTTAAACATACCATTTTCAATTCTACTTCTTGAGTGAGGTCCACTGAAGGCCATGATTTTTTTTGGTATTATCCAGTTGAAATCTCCATTTTCTGCCCTCTGTTAAGAAATAACACATTTTTTTTTTACTTCATTTCTGATATATAGCATTCAATCTACTTGTTTGGGTGAACAAAACAAAGGAGACAAGGATTGTTAATGTAAAGGTCTTGTTGTATATAATTATACATACTCTCAATTTCATCTGAGATTATAGACCATATGCTATCACACTTTTAATCTTAGCTGAAAATCCACTTCACATGGTAATGTGATTTTAAATTTAGTTTGGTTAGTTATTTTTTCCACCTCCCTTGTTTAAATTTATTTTCAAAAATTCATAGATGTAAATAATATGCGCTAATTTTATGCAAATATCTCAACAGTAACCGTAAGTAATTACTAGAAAAGTGAATGATACTTACTTCATAATGCTCATATTCATTTGCATCAAACGTATTAAAGTCAAGGAAGCCATACTGCAATGCCTATAATCCATAAGAAATGAATTTAACATGTAGAAATCTAATAGAGTTGATAATAAGCATTCTTTCTAAACACTTTATTTACCAATCATCAGCATAATAACTGATTTTATTTAAATACTCCTACCAGAAACTTTCTAAATTAGCTACACAACTTATGTAAACTCGGTAAGTTCAAATCCAATACATCCAAGTTGGAGATTTCGAATGCTTAAAAAGTGCCACATAAAAGGTATTACTCCTTAAATGCTATTCAGCTTTATAATGAAGCTTTTATCACTCAGGTTAACATAGACAAGCAGCCAGACTTGAAAGTCAGAATGCATGAATAGTATAACATAGAAAGGCAACCAAAGAATTATTGAGAGTCTTCTTGCAGTCTCACTCCTGGAACCATCTCTGAATTTGTTTCAATTTATTTCTATGGCTTATCTAATTTCAGAGATTAAATTTCCCTAGAATTCCAAAAAGTTTAAATAAATAACAGTCATTATATATTACACTAACATGAAATATATTATACTAACCTTATTTATTGCATGGAAACAGTCAAGCAGAGTTAGATGAAAAGTGCAGGTACCAAATGCAGCATCCCTGTGAAGAATATATATATGGGCTCAAATCCAAATTGCAAAACAAAATAGCTGATGTTTCTCATTTGCCTATATTTCTGTATACCCATTTTCACTGCATCAGCAATAAGTGGTCTAGTAAGGGTAGAAAAACCACCAGCTCTTCCCCAATTCTTTAGCATCTATTTATTGCTTTTTCAGATTCTATTTATACCAACATTTTATGCTAGTGAGGGCTTATAAATAAAGTTGTTAAACTGATAAAATCTGACACATCAAATAGCCACAGCAGTAAAACAGAGCACATGATGGGCATAATCTCTATCGCATGGCATTTTAAGGCTGCTGATCCAAAAACAAGAAACAAATTCCTTTCCACCAAGATGTGAGAGAGAGAGAGAGAAAATGGATACCATCTATCATCTTGACAAGCAGTCCTATCAGTCTTTTTCATCAGCAGCAGAACAAATTCAATAGCCTTAACAGTAATATTAAGAATCTAGATCTACTCCTCATTCTCTTTTCCTACCCCATCTCCTTCTCTGAGAACAGAGAAAGGCAACCAAAGAATCTCTCTTTATAGAGTTGAGTTCGGTTATTACATAAAGTCACAATATATTTGGTATGTTTTAAATTTAATATGAGGTGCTAAGAGGGTTTCCAAATAAATCATTACTTGTTTTATGGCAATAAGTCAATTTGAAATAATGGCTTACATTTTCCTCATTCATTATGCTAACCCGCAGTTGCAAACTTCAATTAGGAACACTGATTGTTTATGATTCTCTTTCTTGTTTTTGGTTCACTTTAATTCCCTGCCAAGTTAACATATATATCAAAAAACAATAATAATCACAACAAGCCCCTCCCACTACACACAAAGTAAGAATTAACCATAAATAAAGTTTAAATACTTCGCTCATCTGCAAGAGTGCAGATTTTATGAAATCAGCTAGTCAATTGCAGAATAAGAAATGCAGCAACTATACAGAAAGCCTTGATACAATATATGGACTTCAACTTCCTAATCCTAACATAGCCAGGGGTAAGTATACTAGGAGTTGGAAGCCCATTTATTTCAAAATTGCCAAGGTAGAAAATATCAATCTGTGTATTCCAAAGAGTTAGGAGATCAGTGTAATACTGTTCAATTGCATGCTTTTATTTACCTGAATGGAAGATATGAAACATTTCCAAATAGTAAATGCCTGTACACATTTTCTGGAGATTCTCTCAGGTATATTATCTGTTTCAAGAAAGAAAGAGAAAAACATTCTTATGAGAATTTTAAGGAATTCATTATTAAATTATCTAGTATTTTTGCCTATTAAACAAACAAGTCATGCAGTTTGGGAATAGAAATGAAAAATGAAACATACTAGCCAACATGAAGTCAGTAATAAGGTAACTGAAACTGAACAAAAAGTCATACAAATGTAAGCACTTTTCAGGTTCCATATAGAGCCCCTGTAGGAAATCCAATCCAAAGTTAGTTATGCGTTCATTGTAACATTTGCTTCATATCCCATATACATGATTCAAGGTCATTTATTTCATACATGAGAAAGAATTGTTAAATCAAAGTTTAAAGAAGCACAATATTCTAGCACTTAAGTAGCCAGATCTAGGGTTGTAGTTATACAGTTGTTATTATTAATATAACCATTTGGAAACTATTTCAGACAAATTGCTTTTATCAATAACTTAATACTCAAGAGGAACTGCATCATACTCGTAGCGTGTCATTTTAGCACTGGTGATACAGAACTCCCACCATCCTAAATAATTTGGGTCCATTAATTCTACTTGTATTGTATAGAACAAAAAAACAGAAGAATTCTGGCAATTTCTTAAATGCTTTACATTGTACTGTGATTTAATCACTCATCAACCCAGGTAGTCAAATTCACCCATTTAATTGTAACTGTTAACAGTAATAACTAATAAAATACACAAATACCTACTCTGATTGCTAAAAAATTAAAGGAAGAAAAAGACCCTTCAATGATTAGCAATTCCTAATAAATTTCAACCCCGATTTTAGACTTAAAACATTCTAAAAACTAAATAACACAAAATTTCTGTCTCCCAAAATGACAATGTTCTCCTAGGAGATGAAGTAAAGCCTAAAATTATAGGTGAAACATAATTCCATGGATGAAACTCTTTATTATCCAATTAGCATCCCCAAGACAATATAGCTGTACACAAAGTAATTATCCATTACACAGATTAAAATTGCAGGCCCTGTTTCAAGAACATCCAAATCTCTTGATGAATAGATGCTACATTCTCATGAGCAGAACTAGCTATTACCACAAATCTTGAAGAGGAAATTCACAGGCCATGTTAATTAATGTAGTTAATGTAAGCTTAAAAAAAACAACTTAGTAATTAGAAACTGCTCTGAAAAGCCATGCTGACAATAACTATAAAACGTTAAGTTTGTATTTCAAATGAAGAAGTTTTACATTAAATAAAAGACTTTGTATAAGCAGATGTGCATTCATATAAAATGGGGAATGTTTTATAAAATAACATTTAGCACCATTTCTAAACACCAACTTTCAAAACAAATAGTTTCAATTGACCTCCTGGCTAGGAATTTTGAGGACTAGATTAGAAAGGTTGTTCCTAAAATGAAAAGAAAATATATCTTCCATTCCAACTGTACTCTACAGGTAGTCCTCATTTAATGACCAATCATTCAGCAACCATTCAAACTTGGGATAGCACTGAACAAGTGGTACTCTTGATCAGCCCTCAGAGTTCTGGCCGACAAATTGCCCTTGTGATCAGTTAATGTCAGTAAGCTGGGAGTGTTACTGTTAAGTGGTATGGTCATGTGATGTTACACTTTATGATTGTGTTGCTGTAATGACAGAAAGTCCAGTCTCAATTACTATCGTTAAGCAAGGGCTATCTGTATTTCCTGATGTTCCATATCGCCCAGAAATGATACGTTCCCCTGCCCTACCCAAAGCTACCTGATAATCCTTTTGTTAATTGTTAGAATTAGTGGTTTTAATGTTGGATCTAGTGGGAGTATAAATGAAGAATTAGTATAGTGTAGTAAAGTGCTGCACTAGAAATGGGGAAATAACTTCATCTGGAGCAGCTCACTGGTGACTTTCAGCCAGTCATATTTCTTGGTTTATCCTACACACAGGGGAAAAAGGTGCAGGAAGCACTATGTAACAGCAGAGGTGTCAAGCTTGCGTCATCACAGTGGTGTCACAGGACGTATCGTGACTCCCCCTTCACTAAACCAGGTGTGGGCGTGGACAGTGCGTGACGCATCTGGCCTGTGGGGCGCGAGTTTTACAGCACTGATGTACAGTATATCACTTGAATTCTTGAAAAAGTGGCATTTAAATTTAACAAATTTCTAAGAAAGTGATTTGTAAGATGGCAGTTTTTATAATTGCTTTCATATCCCCTGAAGTAGGTACATTGCAACACGTTCTACAACAGAGGTGGCAAACAATGGCCCTTTTATGACTTGTGGACTTCAACTCCCAGAAATCTTGCTGGATCAGGAACTCTGGGAATTAAAAGTCCACAAGTCATAAAGGGGTCATTGTTCCTTATCTCTGTTCTATAAAATTTATATAAAGCCATTAATTTATAATGCTTGGGTGTCAAAATGTTTGGCTTCCCTGGGCAGAATTGCATGAAGAGGACTTATCTTTGGCCAATATAGTTAATGTATACAAATAGGTCCATGGGTTGGACATGTCTGATATAGTGCTTAATTTTGTTTTCTTCGGAATGTTGTATTTTTAGTAAGAAATATCATAGCTTGCAACCTTTTGGTCTTTCTACAGCACATAACTCCTATTCTCCACAACAAATTTTGAGTGATCTGTATGCAGGAAGAATATGAACGCACATATTCACATATAACAAGTTGTAATGGAATTATGTTTGCTGTTCCTTTTCCTGCCAGGCACAAAACAGACAAAGATGCTGCTCAATCTTGCTGTATTTACCATGCTGGATAAATGCAATTAATGTGCAAAATGCAGCCTTATGCTTTTTTTCCTTAGAGACAAGAAAAGCTGTACCAAGCAATATTGTATTCTGCACTTAGGCAAATACCATAGATGCAATTAAGAAAAATTTGTTCCCTGGATTTTACTTTTAAAAAACAGTAAGCTAATTTAAAACAGAGAGAAGTAGAAAGGCAGCAAGTAAAAAAAACAAGAAAAAACCTTTCATCTTAATTCTGCAAGGAGGATTATAGTTTCTGAGAGGAATGTAGAGGACATTTACTGTTAAGAAAATAGTCCAGTACATAAAGGGAGTCTTTGATTTTTGATTGCAATTGGGACTGGATTGCCATCACTAAGCAATATGGTCCTGAGACCCAGTGCAAGCTGTGCATGAATTGAGGAATAGGTGCTGTGGTATGGTGCAAGTGGCTTGAGTTCAAGAAGCCTGGAAAGGAAGATGCTACGTGTGTAGCTTTGGTGGCACAGTGGTTAGAATGCAGTGCTACAGGCCAATGCTGCATTCTACTGCCAGGAGTTTGATCCTGACCAACTCAAGGTTGACTCAGCCTTCCATCCTTCCGAGATCGGTAAAATGAGGACCCAGATTCTTATTGCTATATGCTGTATTTTGTTCATATGATAATGGGTGTGTTACAATGGTTCTAAGTTCCATTGTTTAATGCTGTTATAACTTAGAATGGTCATTGAATAAATTATTGTAACTTAAGGTCTACCTATAAATCCAGAAAGACGTGTATTATAACTGAAATACCTTTGCATTTCAAGAATTAAGTTCTTTGAAATGTTTTAGATGTAAAAAAACACAGTATTTTATCTTTTAAAACACTGATTTAAAACTACATATTTACTAATAAATATTCCTAAACTAATATTTACTACGAAGTAGTTATTTCATTCCTATGTTCTCAGTCTCCTTCCTAGAAACTGATTAGTTCATATGTATTTAATTCTAGCAATACTTTAGGAATGGATTCCACCAAATTAATCATTGACAATCATTGTTATTCAGTTTTCCCCCCACAGCTAGGTGTTAATAGTATCAATCTGCAGAATACATTTTGGTATAACAGCACTGGATTAACCTACAACACAAATCTATATATATTAGAAACTCTCATTGAATGGTACCAAGGAAAAGTGTCCTTATTTTCTTCTGACATTTATTCAAAGATTCAATAAAGGCACAATAGAGCTGGCTTCAATCATGTTGGGGGGGAAAATTATGAACAGGTCATGAATTTCATTTTCTCTTCCCCAACCTAGGAGTGAATTCTTCCAGTTCCATTACTTTTAATATTGATGGAGATGTTAACACTGAATTATTGGTGAAGGAAGGTTCTTGAACTCAAATAAAGGAAGGAAGGAAGCATTCTTAACTAGGTTAACAGTTGGTTAACAGCATGTCTGCAGCATCGAAAGTAGCTTATGTATAGAACTTAGTCAAATCTTTTACTCATGTTTTCTAGTTGAAAACATTCAATGAAGCTAAATCAAAGTTAAAACAGCTGTCACGAAGTTTGGAAGATAGGGAGACCTGTAAGGTTAAGCACATTTTTAGAAAAAAACAAATGGTCGTAGGATAGTTTCAAGTCTCCAGCAGTTTATATTTTTTATTTAAAATGTATCTTTTCGTTAAGAAAAAAAAGTTTATCCCTACAAAATCATAATCTTAAACCAGTGCACGAACAAAATTTATGAATTGACAATGCAAAATTAAAGGCAGCAGAAATTCCTTAAACCGGTGAAAGAAAAAAAAGAAGTCCTTATGTACAATGGAAAGTAAACCTTGACATCTAATATAGGATAAAGATAAGGTAATATATCATCTCTTGGATAAAATACACACAAAAATACTGTATGAAGTACATAGTGAGAGAGAAGGAAAACAATTATAAAAAGCAAAAGAAAAATACCAGCAGCCACATAAAATCTGAAAAAATAAAATAAGGAAATGCCTGTGAAAATCTACACACTGAACATAAAACATATTTCTGGCATTACGTTTGATGCATTAACCTAAAAATTAAAACTGATTTTAATGGCATATATTTAATTTCATCTACTTTCAAACTACTAATGGGAAAGAAATTACATGTTTGAAAGCTACATCATAGATGATGTGTCTGCTTCAACAGCGCCATCTAAAACAGGGTTACAACTAGAAATGTTGAAACCTAGGAAGGATTTTTAGAAAAAAAAAAAGAGGGAGGGGGAGCACAAGAGGTGAAGGAAACTGCTTACCCTGAAGGAAGAAGATGAGAAAATAAAGTACACAGAGATGAGTCCTGGAGAAGATCACCTGAATTACAGCAATTCTTGGGGGGGTAGAACCCAAGAACGGTAGCCCTCCAAACATAATTAGTGCCAAGCCTGAGAAAAAGAAACACTGTTACTAAGTTAATGCAGGGTTGGGAAGGAAGAAGTGAGATGGAGGCAGAAGACAAAGAAAGGAGGACAAGACATATAGAGGCTATTTCTAAATTAAGACACATAAAGGAAACAGAAGAAAGGACATTCTGTGTTAATCTTTGTAATATTAGTAGATTGAAAGCACCTACTGCAGAAGTTTAGTGTGATAATATGAATGTGTTTCTTCCCACACAGTGCTCCCTTTTAAGACAAAATTGGCATATTAATCTTTAGTTCAGCAAAGCAAAAACAATGGCATCTTATTTCTAATTGCTATTTCATTTCCTCAGCATTTCCTACATGCTTTTCCAACAGCACAAGTCCAGAGTTATACATTCTAATTACTTTAATATGCATGTAAGAAGTGTCAATATATAAAGATGAGAAATTATTACAAAAGACTAAAAACCAGATTACTAAGAACATCTATAGAGTCTAAAGGAATTTTGCAATATTTCTTCTGTTGCAGAACTTTACACAGCTAATCATTCTGTGTGTTTGAAATTCTTACTGAATGTGGTAGGAAAGTAAAGGCTTGACAGGATTTAACCAAAAAAAAATTAGATACCAATAAACATCCATAAAGACAAAAATCTGTCCTTACAACGTTTCATAACTTTGATGGAGCAGAAGCAAGCAGCAATCTCTGGATTCCATGTATACATTTTCAGAAAGTGTTACTGATAAAGTTATGAAAAAGAACATTTTAGGCTTCATCTTCTTTGCCCAAGTTTGCACATGACATTCTGAACTGGGTCCCAAAAGCAAATAAGCATATAAGGTCACTGACCTGAAAACTTTTCTAACTTTCTCTGACTTGTGTTACATAGGACGACTTTGTAAATAACTTTATTTCTAAGATTAAAAATATATTTCAGAATTGCAATGCACTGTAAAATTTGAAAATATTTTGTCAGTTATATATTGAGGAATTCATAACCATTAGAAAAATGCATGTACATTACAGATGCTTGAAAATATTAATATTCTGATGATAGCTACTAGATACATTAAATTCTAAGCTAGTAACCCAGTTAATTAACACAAGAACTTACATTGTAATGATTAAGAATTGTCACATCAATTAGAAAGTTAATATAACTCTTCATATTTAATATGCCTTGAAATCTTACTATTTTTAACATACCCTCTAGAAACATCTAATACAACTTCAAACCCTATTAGAGACTAGAATAGAAAGGCTATTAACAACCATAACAAATTCTTTAAAAAAGGAATTTAGCATTGAGCAATATGAATCTCTCTGTCTTAAATACAACTACTTTCATCCTTAATGGCATGAACCAATTCAAAAATAAAATATAATGCAGGCTATTCATTCTTATCCTGGCAAATGCCTGCTCAAGGCATTTGGGTTTTCAACTTGAAAAGACCAGATCAATTGAGATCTTTCTTTACCTCCCTCCCTCTCTTTCACACACACATCCATAGAGGGAAGTAAATCTGTTAAAACACCTTCTTAAATTAGAGGGAATTCCTATTAGATTGAAAGAGATTATATATCATAATATTTTTTATATAAGAAATAAAATCATGTTTTTAATTATATTCTCAATCATCTAAACACACATGAATATATTTTATATGAATAAAACCACTGGTTTTCAGTAAATGTGTTTTGTTTAAGATTACATACATGGGTAACATTTTACATCTTATAATACATATTACATATCCTAGTAAAGGTATTTCATTGTGTGCACAAAAACAGAAAAAAAGATAACTATAGCTGAAGTTTTCATGTTAACAACTATCCAATTAATTTATACCAATAATAGTTTGCTTAAACTATCATAATATTTTTGGATTAAGTAATTGTGCAAACTAAATATTTAAATTCTGTTTAGAATATTAATTCAGATAAATCTGCAGTAAAGATACATTTGGAATTGGAATGAAAACAGATGGGGCTATACCCGTGTTAAAATAAAGATGATTTTACTCACATTCTTTTGCTATAACAACAGAGTAACAAATCAAGTTTGACAATGTTGCATATTGTAAATTGGAGATGACAAGTAGTGGCACATGGATTGCATGCAGCTGTCACTAATGAAGCCCCAGAGCATTCCCAGATCATGTAAAATACTATTTTATGATAGCGTAGTTTCTGCTATTTAAATCTTACAATCTACCCAAATCAGTCAAAACTAGCCCTTTTGGTGATATTATGTCACAGATCAAGCATTGAGCCCAAAAATAATTAATAAAAATGGATTATGCCTTCCTTCCCACTTGCTAGAAATAACTGAACTGGATTAAAAGAATCTGTACCTCAGGACAATTAAATAAGCAAGTGTGAACAGTGTGATTCTCTGAATAAAAATTTTGTGTTACACTGCACAATAATAACCTGTTAGTTGAACAAAACACATCGACCATATGGCTCTCAGGCATAGTCTTCAAAGCCATGACACTCGTCCACCCTCATGCATAGGAGAAAATAATGATGACTACTATCTTGGATCTTACTTTAAGAATGACTTAAAACAGATTTTGTGCACTATTAACAAATACAGGAATAGCACAATCATTTTATGAAAAATATTAAACCACAATTCCAAATGCTATTAAGAATAGGAAGGACTCTTATTTTTGGATTACCAGATCAGTGGATCATGCCACTTAATTCTTCATAAAGCAAGCGTACTTTAACACGAACAGCTAACATACAAAAGGACAATCTTCCAGGCCAGGAGCCCATTCACTTTTCCACCCTGTCCTCCTTGGTTGATTCCTTCATTACATGAATGAAAGCGTATTTTACATAAAAATTATAACTACGCCCTCTCCTGAGGAAGCATTCTAGTGACTTTGTCATTAAGTGAAATGGTTGCTAAGCAAACTCATGACTGAGAAAGAGAGCAAAAGATCACTGGTTACTACTGGCTTCTTTCGGATAGTTTTATCCTACAGGGACCTGTGCCTGATCCATTCCCGCTTTTGTTTGCCTCTTTGCAGGGTGGAAAGATGGCTTAAACACGCTATCTCTTCCTGAGCTGCTTTTCTTTGCAGCACAGTATTTCTCTAAAAAGTGCTAACCACAAGTGAACAAGCTCTGTTCTGTGACCTTCATTAGTGATTAGAACCCTTCCACTGGCTCACCTCTGGCCTGAAACCGAAACGAATCAAATCTTAATCAGTCTCATACTGAAAATTTTCCTTGTCCGGAATAGGAAAAGTTGATTCTAAATGTCTGCACTGGTCAAAAGAATGAATTTTTGTTGCCATTTATTATCACTGTATTTGCAAATGATTGCTAAATGACATAATGCCTAAATAAGGAGTGGGTGTAATTAATAAAGATGAAAATTAAAGCTGCAATCCCAAACTTGCGTACTTCAAAGCTATCAAAATCAGGAATCAACTTTGCAGAAACTACTTCTAAGATAAATGTATTGATACAAAGTATGTCATTTTTTAAAAAATGAATGTTATAAAGTAGTGAGCCATGAAACCAAACTGATTGCTTTCTCCCACTTTTTCTTGCTCCTATATGCTCACTATAATGGGGCTTAGCTTTTTTCGTTTGTTTGGGGGCACTTTTTGGACTCTACCCTTGTTTTCAAACAAGCCTTCTATACTATCTGTCACTCAAATTGAGTCCACTTTGTGATTGCCATTTAAAGTGTACTGGTTTTCGATTTAATTTTTATTTTACTTAAATAAGTTCCATAACTGTGACATCTGGAGAATTTATACTGAAGTGCCCTTGATGAAAAAAAATGCATAGTACAACTTAGATCTTTAAACACAGAAGAATATGTTTCTACTCATATACTATGTAAAAAAACAAATAAACTGAAAGTTATTTCCAATTCTGATGCTGACTAGAAGTCAAATTGGTGAATCTTGCCAATTTAAGATGTTTAAATACTTACTGTGTAACAGCCTACGAGGAAGGCTGCATTGGCTTGCTTTTTCTGATCCGAACCACAATAATGAACAATCTTCTTCCTTAACATGGTAAAAGACTATCAAGAAATGAACAGAATTATAATTGTAATCCTTGGATTTTAAATGTATCAATGAATGTAAATATTCCAAATACAATTTAAATAGTCAAATGCAGAGATTTTACATTTAAGTAGTAGTTCCATGACAACATCCATTATAAAAAGAGAATGTGGCATGTGGATTCTTTATATATAACAAAAGGACAGCAAGAGAAAAAATTAACATTCAAATTAATATTTTAAGTCAGTGTTTCTTTAAGTGTAGTCCAAGGACCCCTGGGGGTTCCCTAAGTCCCTCTCAGGAATTCACCATAATTGGAATTATTTGCCCATATTAAAAATATTTGCAAAAATTTTAAAACATTTTTCTCATTATTTTTATTCGTTAGAAACTAGAACTTTTTGAGAAATGTTTTATTTATGTTAATATTTAATGCATTTATTATTATTTTTTACATAATTCCATGTAAAGATTCCAGTCTTCAAATGTATTGATTTTAATTTTCAATATGGCAAATAATGAATATAATCCATACGAACAAAAACTATTTCATTCATAATTTATAAAATGGGAAGGTGTCCTGACAGAAAAAAAATGTAAGAAACAAAATTTTAAGCAACCACTAGCTTAATAAAATAATTTAGAAGGTTCTAGCATGCTTCAATGGTTGGTTCATTCAGTATTTTTGACTCAATTATAGAATGAAGTTACTACAGAGCAATGTTTCTCAGCTTTGCTGATTTAATAAGTCCAACTAATTTACAAAGTGGTTTAAAATGCATTAATTATTTTTCCTGCCTGTGAGAAATCATTATTCATTTACAGCAGAAAAGGGGCAGACACACCGACATAACCTAGAACATACAGGGATTATATTCCTAAAGACAAAAAAAGGTCAGTTCTTAAGAATGCTAGATCACTGAAAGCATAATTACAATGAAACCAAATTTTGCAGAGTAATTTGAATAAGAGAATGCAAGAATTAGGCAACCACATATTTTGAATTCCATACTAATATGAGCCTCTGTGGTGCAGTGGTTAGTACTGCAAGCTACTTCTGCCTACAATTTGGCAGTTCTTCAAGGTTGACTCAGCCCTTCCATCCTACCGGGGTGGGTAAAATGAGGACCCAAATAGTTGGGGGCAATATGCTGACTCTGTAAACTGCTTAGAGAGGGCTGTAAAGCACTATAAAGCAGCATATAAGTCTAAGTGCTAGTGCTAGTAACTCATCAGCTGAAAATCTTAAAACTACTGTACAGCTATATGTTAAATAAAAGATTTTCATATTTCAATGGAACTTCAAAAACTGAATTAACACATACTGTTACACAGTACAAAGTACTTTTGATACTTTTAATATAAATTATATTTTAATTGATTAATAGTAAGAAATTGGATGCTGCATAAAACATCTGGAAAATAGTTTGAATTATGTTTTGTTGATTTTAGAAGTTCCAAGCGTTTTTACAATGCCACATATTGCAATAGTGTCAATTATTACTGACACTATGGATACTACTGTTATACATGAAAATAACTGGCTAGTTACCATGCAGCTCAGTCAGCTGTTGCATGTGACTATTTACATGAAAAAAGAGAGAGATAAATTACAATCTATTTATCTGTATCATGACACAACTGATGAAAACAAACATAGTAACTAAAATTATTTCATTTTCAGAGGGATCATGAAATGGGAACAGATTTCATTCCTGCGATTTATTTATACATTAAACTACATTCCCATAAATTATAAGACCTATATTTTCAATATTATGCTTTATATAATAAGTTGACTAAAATATGCCAGTACTACCATCTTCAGGCATGTGAATAACTATGAATACACATAAGCTGTTAAAAAATATACTAAAGAAATTTCCTTCTGTAATTAAAAGCTAGATAACCAACCACTCCAATATATTCCAGGAAAGAGATGCAACAGTTTCTCAATAAGTTTTTTTCTGCTCCTGATTATTAGGACTTCAAGTTTTATAAGTTTATATTTCTGCCTTTAATCCTTAGCCAAATTATGAATATTTATACCCTGAAATAAAAATCTAAAACTGATCATATACTTTCCCACTCTTCTGGCAAACATATTTTCATTTACTAGAGTAACAACAGTGCCAAAATAAATCTTGATTTTATTATTTCTTCTGGGAGGAGAGTATACAATAATAAAAAAAGTGCAAACAAGACAAATAGAATATAATGTTCACCCCTTCTAACATTTTATAAAGAAACCGAGAATAACCAAACTATTAGATGTTACCTTTAATTTTTTATTTAGCTTGCAACAGTATCTGTAAATCATTGCCAGATTGAGTGGGCCAAAATCTGCATAGAAGCTTGGAAAAAGGGGAGGGAGAAGGAGAAGAGAAGGATAGGGAAGGAAAAAAAAAAAGACCTTATTGAAATGTCTGTTAAACTCCTCCCCCCACATTCTCTCCACACACTCCCACTGCAGCTGCTTAAATTTTAATAAATAGGCATTATAACTGGCGTATTTCCCCATCTCTTTCAAGACAACAGTTGAAACACAATGTAATTAATGGGGGGGGGGGACTCCTACAAGCTTTACATATATTATCAAATAAGTCAGCAATGTCAATAAATGGTAAAACCATTTTAGGAATAGATAATGCAATATTTTGTAGTCACATCTTCAATTAAAATATAAAAGTGACTAATTCAACAGTACACACATAACATGCTTTATTAAGCCTGAAGTATCAACCCACAAAGAGAGCCGACTGACTCACGCTGCATGATTCATTGATCTGAGCTTGCCTCTGTATATGCCAATAGGCTTGGTGTTTTAACTGACCCACTTTTTCACTGTATGTAACTGATAAAGGACCTACAGTTGCAGCAAACCTAATGTTCATCATGACTAAATAGAGAAATGCCTGATGTTTATTTAAATACATCTTTACCCTGAGCTGACTTCTTTTTAACAAGTATTTTTGTATTAATTTGTTCAATTATTCATATTACTTATAACCTACTTACTATTTAGAGGATCTTATGGCAGGTTATACTGACAGAGAAGCACCAAAGGGATAGCTAGTATGACAGTGGCTAAAAGGGAGATTATAAAGCCAGGTCATCATTTGAACCATCCTGATCTCCAGGATAATACAACGCAATATATCCATGAGTTGTGCAGAGTACACATATCCTGAATTATATGTATCAATTTATGGATGAACAATGCTTAAATGTAGAATTTATTTTCAGAATTCCACAATCAACTCAGTCACATAACATGGTTGGAAACAAAGCCAGTCCAAACAAGCAATACCTAAGTTAGAACTATTCATAGTTTTGCTTCCCATCCATGATGGATATATCTTCTGTGGATAATATGCAAGAGATAACATGAAAATTCTTAGTCAACTAGTGATATCTAGGGCAAAGAGAAAACCCTAAACGTAGAGTAGAATTTCCCATTGTATTCTTTCAGATGTGTATGAGTTCAACTCCCACAATTTCCAAATAACTGGAGGGAACTAAAATGGAGGAAGACAAATCAGCATCTAAACATTTCAGGCATATAGATAGCAATTTCTCTGGCAGCCTAATGCTCAAACAGCTTGAAAACTGAACAACTGTTTGCTCTTATTGGTAGCATAGTGAAATGTTATGAGAGAACCATTTAGACAGGTCTCATCTACATAAAATTGATACAGTCTGCATAAAATTGACACATAATTGTTTTCTATCAATTTTTCTGGAGTGCAGGCCTTTTCTAATATAACTTAACTGATTCATATTATTAAAACAAATTGAAGTCTCTAGCTTCAACCCAGTCAATAATTTCAACCATCTCTAGGTAAATACAAAGTTTTTGATCTCTGTAAAAATAACTCTTCCTTAAAGTGATGGCGAGATACCATGGCAAGTTAGGAAATATTTTTGAGTCTATCCAAAAAAGTAACACTGCAACTCTATGGTCATTTGTAATAAATGCAATAAACAATGCTACACATTCCCATAGTTAGTGCTTTGGATTAATACCGGTATTTGTAATTTCTGGAGGCCAATAATGATAATGCTGTATACCAATATAAGATCTTCTCTTTATTTCAACTGCTTTTCATTCAAGGATACACCATCCAAGCCACAATTCCCTACTTGGGACTCTCTAGATGTACTGGATAGCCATTGCCATTAACGTTAACCTTTATCTGGAGGTTAAGACTTCTATAATGCTTGATAGGTCATACGTTTCCCAGTGTAAATTTATGAGACATAGATCTTTAAAGTAGTTCAGTCACAATTATTAATCAAGGAAGAATGCTTAGCCTCTGTAATAGAAAATGTAGTTCCCAACTGACTTTCTGGTTTTGGAAACAAAGAAGGACTGGACCTGATTAATACTTGGATGGAATACCATTAAGTTATAAGCTAGACTGGGAAGTAAAAAAAAATCCTAAAAGAATGCAGTGGCAAATTATTTCCATTTTGTTGTTAACAAAGGTACATGACAATGTTTATGAAGTTACCACAAGTAAAACCTCAACTCAATGGAGACTGTGGAGATGGATATTTACCATTATTCTTCAATTTAACATGAAACATGATTCTTCAACCTAAGTATGCTTCAGATCAGTTAACAAATACAATAATAATTTTAAAACATAGCAAATATTTATAGAATTAAACAAATGTATCAATTTGCTTCCAGGTTTAACCTTAGAAAAAAATGATGGATCCGGCCTGCGGGCCACCAGTTTGACACCCTGCTCTAGAATAATGAGTTCTGTTTCAAATAAGCCTTCTTGACTGCTACATAATGTTCATTTAGAAAAATAATATGTATATAGTACAATGAAAGCTTTAAACAAGCTTCAAGCAATCTCATTATAAAAATTAAATATTTGCACAATAGAAGTTGTGCAAATACTAAGTACTACTACTAATATTTAGTACTCAATAGCACTAAAATAAAAGGAATAAAAATTATTATTTATTGGGTTCATTTATTTATTCTCAAATAAAGCAAAAATAAAGTCCTTATTATTAATATCTTTTCTTCTTCCTTCCCTTTCCACTGCCACTAATTTTAGCTGCTAATTGTTCCAACAGCATTTTATAAAATTACTTCTTCTGAATTACATGATTTACTATTACACTCCCTAAGTATTTGCTAAGTCCTTCTGACCTTTGCTTTTTAATTTAAAAATTGGGAAAGGAAATAAATATTCTGGAGAACTGGAGATTGTTTTTCAGAAATTCAATCAGCTTACATCTATTTTTGCAGTAAACACATTACCGTATTTGAGAGAGAAAGTATACCCATACTGTACTCCTATAATTATCACCTCATTCTTAACAAACCATGCAACCCCTCAAGATAGAGCCAGATTGCTGTAGTGGTTAAGGCATCAGGCTAGAAAATGGGAGACCTTGCATTCTAATCCCATTCTGGCCATGAAACCAGCTGGATGACCTTGGGCCGGGCACTTTCTCTCAACCCTAGGAAGGAGGCAAATGCAAAAAATCCCATCCTCTAGGATAGACTTTTTAAAATGATGTTTGCAGTACCCCAGATGTAGATAGTCCTTGACTTAAAACCACAATTGAACCCAAAATTGATGTTGCTAAGTGAAAAATACGTTGAGTTTTGCCCCATTTTATTATTTTTCTTGCCACATTTGTTAAGTGAATCATTGCAGTTGTTAAATTAGTAACACAGTTGTCAAATGAATCTGGCTTCCCCATTGACTTGGCTTGTCAGAAGACTGAAAAGCCGATCACATGACCTGGAACACTGCACCTGTCATAAATATGAACCAATTTCAGGCATTCGAATGTAAATCAAATGACCAGGGAGATGCTGCAACAGTCATTAAATGCGAAAAAACGGTCATTAGTCACTAGTTTTTGACTCACTTTTTCACTGTATCTAACTGATAAAGGACCTACAAATGCAGAATTTCTGAAAATACATATTTGAAAATATGAATATCTTCTACTTTAGTACATTTTACTAGTTTTTCAGTAAGCATTTCCTATCTTATTAGAAAATAAGATTCTAAGAATATTCAGCTCAAAGCAGACTTGATTGCTTTATTCCAAGTTCAATAAAACTTATTTTCAAAGCAAAAAATATCAGCCAAACTTTGTTTCAGTTTCAGTTTCAATTTCAATTACTGAACTGAATCATTTTGAATAGACTAAGGTGTCCTATACCAGGGGTATCAAAGTCAAGGCCCATGGGCTGGATCTAGCCCGTGGGGAGCTTAGATCTGGCCCATGGGGCTGTCCTGGATACAGCAAAGGACCAGCCCACAGTGCCTCTGCCAGCGAAAATGGAGTTCAGGAGGACTGCATGTGCCCCCCCAAGCTCCATTTTCACTGGCAGAGGGCTGCAGGAGGCTATCACAGCTGAAAATGGAGCCCAGGAGCCTGTTTTCACTGTCAGAGCACTCGGACTACCACAGGCACCCCTGACATGTCAAGCTGGCCATGGCCACCCTGGTTACTTTCCCCTGCCCCCCCCCAGGTCAAACACCACCCTGATGCAGCCCTCAATGAAATCAAGTTTGACACCCCTGTTCTATACCATAGCTACCTAAAAAGATGAATGCTAGAAAATTCAGAATTAAAAAAGGAAGCAATTTCTTTCTAGAGACCCAATTTTATGATTAAATGCATCAGGCTAGAAACTACAGCCAGGTGACTTTGAAGCAGTAATGGGAAGAATGCAATGGCAAAAAAGTCCTGAAAATGGTATTGAGAAAGTTGCATGGGTCTGTCTAAGCTACTGCTAGGATTCAAGATTGACTTGACTCAAATATATAAAATTCACACACACACACCCTAAAGTACAGTGAAATCACACCTATATTCCTTGTCACAAGTAATGAGGGCCAACAATTTAAACTATGTAAAATTTATGAGGAATAAGGTTATGAGATTACTATACACAATGTAAATAATGCTGCTAGAATCAAAGATTTCTAACTGGCCACAATTGGCCAATGATAGAAGACTAGATACTATTCTATTTATTTTATCAGAAAGCTTCACAATGTATTTTTTATATATGCTGTTGCTCTTACTTTTTGTCTTGCAGAGCAAGGAAATAATATTATACTTACTTTTCATATACAAATTCATCATCTATGCAGAAATAGTGTGTACTTGTACTACCGCTTTTTGGTTTATGGAACAGAATGGCAAAATAAAGACGATCTGAAATTGAAAACAAACAAAAACACCAAAATAGTATTTATAATGAATACAAAGACAATTGTAGAAAATGGGTTGATTTATCTATTTCTTTTTAGCCAAGTTACAACAGCAAAAATAAAAACTCCCATTCAGAATCTGATGATTTCAGGAAATTGTCAACGTAAGTATTAATAACTATTTAATATGGCATACTGTTGATGAACTGTTAAATTTGGATATAAGAAATTCATACCCTGAATTGTCAAAAACAATTCTGACCTGCCTCACTGAAATGACAATCCTTTTCTGTGCAACATTAAAGAAATTATTCACATGAATCATGTGAAAGAATGTTATAATTCAGCTGTATTTATGGCCTGTTTTTGAAATTACTGACATCACTTCCTAACACGTTAGAAATAGAATTATGCAATAAAAGTTTGGTCAAAGGTTAAATCACCAGGTAAGAAACTTGTGAATTTGTAAGTTTCTTTCATCAACAAAGCACTGTTTTGTAAAACTATTCCTGTTAGTATCCATGATACTAACCTTAGGCATGAAAGCCAGATGGGTGAGCTTGGGTCAGTTACTCTCTCAGCTCAGCCTATTTCACCGGGTTGTGGGGAAAATAGGAGGAAGTGTTATGTTATTATATTAGATATGTTTGCTGCCTTGGTTATTTATAAAATATAATAAAGTTGAGGTAAATAGATCTCAACACATTGTTTTGCAATCTTGGCAATTTCCATGCTGGAAACTTTTAGTGCTTCAAAGAATGTTGAAAGTCCACTGCTGGTAGCTACTGCATGTATAGACTGTCTCTTGCAGATGTATTCATGTTGCTTACTCATACACACTAACTACAATGTAACTAAGTTAACATGGTCTCTAAGCAGAGTTGCAGAAAGAGCACAGCCTTGCAACAATTCTATCCTTCCCATGACTAAGAGATCTTAAATTACTACTTTCAGTGACAGTTGTTGGGATTTCTTAAATGGAGGAAAGTCTGGCAGGAAATACAGATTAAAAAATAGTGGCAAAGACATAATTCATCTCTAATTGGTTGGAAAAGCTCTGAAATCTAACTGGGGAAATAACAAAGATGAGAGATATTTTTAAAACTCTCGCAAAGAGAAACTTTTATAAATGGCACAAAAACCAAAACTGTGAACAATGCTAAATTAATTTATTCTGAATAAAAAAAATTCAAGACTGCTTCATGATTTGTTACATTTATTATTTCCATGTAAATATGGTTAAGCATAAGACCATATAAATAAATATTTATTGAAAAACACTTGAGCTTACATATCAGAACCTGTGGAAATCCTAACGAATTCAAAAATGTTGCCCACACTTTAATAAAAATGGCCCAAAAATGTATATGGGCGGGCAAGGAGGCCAGTAGAACACATCACCAACTGCTGTGGGGATTCGCAATTTTGGGAAGTTTTGTGAAACAGAGGAATAGCCCTACAGACACATTCATTCCACTTACTCCAAAGATTTAAAGGGCTTAAGTTCCGGTATAGACAGAGGCAGAAAAGTTCTTTGTTGTGCAACATATCTGCGGGCACCTCTGTTTTGTTTTGTTTTAAACCGCTTCCCCTGCTTCAAAAAAAAAAAAAAAAAAAAAGCTTGAAAACCCACACCGAACGAGCCTAGTTGGCCGCTCCCCCCCACTTGGCGGAAAACTTCTGCCTGTTCCGTCGGAATTTTAAACGCACCAGAGGTGGGAAGCCATTCTCCACCCCCGCATTTTCTTTAAAGCGCCGCCGTTTGCTTACCTTTAACTAACTCCGCGCAGGAGGGCGAGCGCTTGGCTGGGTTCATCTCCGTTTATCAACATTCAACCGAGAAACCAAAGACTGGGCGAGCAGCACCACAGAGCAGCTGCTGGAAATGGCTGCTTGCGGAGGTCGCTGCTGACTTTTGCAGCCTCGGTCAGAAACTCCTAAATCTCTCTCTCTCCCTCCCTCCTCGGAGTTCTAACCGCAGCGTCCCTACTCTTGCTTCCAAGTGTGTGTGGGGGGGGGGGGGGGGGAGAAAGCAGCCTTTCCCCGGGCCAACTCGAACGCCGGGGCGAGGGGCACTCCGGAAAAAGGAGCCACAATCTTCTAAGCGTTTCCCCCTCTGGGTTTACTGCAGCTCCCTCCTTCAACAGGCAACTTCGAGAGGGCCGCCAGTTCTTCCCGCGCGCCTTCTCGTGCTCCCCGCGTCGCTCATTTCTTCGGCCCAAAGAGCAATTCCCAAATACCGGCCCGCCGCGCCTCCCTGCAAAGGGGCCTTTAAGAGCGCGCGCCCGGCGTCCCTGCTGGCTTCTCCGAACGCGGCTCCGGCTCCTCCGCTTCTGCCAAAGGCGCCGACTATACTTCCCCAACAATCATTAACGCGTCCCCCTCCTTCAGCCAAGGAGGCAGCTCTCTAAAGCTTCGCACCGAGCAGCGGCCATTGGCTGGCGAAGGAAGCAGAGCCCCTCCTTGCCAACCACTGGCCACTGCCACCTTCGCACTGCAACCAAGGGCCTTTTGCCCAGTCTAGGAGCCTCCCTGAAACCTCGGGCTGGCCTAGTTCCTCGTGGGAGGAATGGAAGATTTTGGTCACTGCCTGGCCTCCGGTTTTTGTTTTTCCTGGCCGCTTTGTGTCTTTCTCGTGCCATTCTGACAGAAAACTAGACCGGCTCCACCACAAACATGCTTAGCAACACACCATCGCGTGTGGAACCAGGCCGAATTGTAAAGACACTTGAAAAAAGATCACAAAAATGATCTTAAGTCTCAAGCACCACAAGCACTTTCTGCATTTTTTTGTTAGTCATACTAAGACACCCACTTGATTTCAAACCTTGAACAAGCACTGGTACATCGGATATAAAAAAGTGCTAGATATTCTATTAAAAAATTACTTATTTTTCAGAGGCCTTTATAGGGGGAAGACAAATGGGGAAATTTGTTTGTTTACAACTCTCTAACAACTAATCAAACAAGTAAATTGTTTGCATTTAAGATTACATCTGAGCAAGAACTGTTAGTAAACCAGCAATGGGCAGGCTCAAGCCCTATCTGCAGAATAAGGTCAATAATCATCCTAATCTTACAGGTAAAGTTTTTGTAATTATACCACAAAGGGCTCTAAACTTTCATATTAAGAGCATAATACAAAATAATTATTTGGCCTGCAGTGCAAATGTCATAGTTGTATAGAATAGTTCATAACAGATTCAATGAGCTGTAAGCCATAATCATCACAATTATGACAAATCACGGCTTGAACTATCTTGCTTTGCATGTAATGAGTCTATCTCATATATTAGTTTTATCTTTTAAGTTGCATTACTGAAATAAATGAACTTTTGCACGATATTCTAATTTTTTGAGTTTCATCTGTATATTTAGGCAAGAAAAACCAAATGCACAGGTAGAGAATAGATGGTACCTGACTCAACAGTAGTAACTGTGAGAGGGATCTTGGAGTCCTAGTGGACAATCACTTAAATATGAGCCAGCAATGTGCTGCAGCTGCCAAAAAAGCCAATGCAATCCTAGGCTGCATTAACATAGAGGTGGAATCAAAATCACAAGAAGTGCTAGTACCACTTTATAACGCTCTGGTAAAACCACACTTCAAATAATGCATTCTGTTCTGTTTGCCACTATATAAAAATATGTTGAGACTCTAGAGAAGAGTGCAGAGAAGAACAATAAAGATTAGCTAGGGGGCTAGAAGCTAAAACATACAAAGAATGGAATTGGGTATGTCTAATTTAATGACAAGGACTATGGGTGATATGAAAGCATTATTTCAATATCTAAGGAGAAGAGGAGGTCAACTTATTCTCCAAACCACCTGAAAGCAGAACAAGCAGCAATGGATGGAAACTAATTAAGCAGAGAACCAATATTGAACTAAGGAGAGAAATTTCCTGACAGCACAATTAATCAGTGGATTGACTTGCTTCCAGAGGTTGTGCATGCTCCAACACTGCAGATTTTTAAAAAGAGATTGGACAATCATTTGTCTGAAATGTTACAGCATTTCCTGCTCAAGTTGGGGTTGGACTAGAAGACCTCCAAGGTCCCTTCCAACTGTTATTCTGTTAATATTTAATTCAATAATTCAGATAGATGGGGGACATACAGAGAAATGTACTGAAGATCACCAAGATTGGTATGGGAAATGGTGATTTTAAGGAATAATGAAGTATGCAAAATTCCCTTTTATTTCAATGTAAAGATTAACATTGATTACATTAACTTTTATAAAATGGAGTGTTCTGTATGTGTTCTGTATTTCAGATAATGTGTATATAAATCTTACCCCAGAATATCCAGAAGGAAATAATTATCAAAATTTATCATTATCAAAATTGATCATTCAGAAAGTTACAGAATAAAATAATGTAAACCTCCTTGCTTTGGTTACATTGTAACTCATTGTGTGTTTCAATGAACACTAAATATTGAAGAGATCTGACCTGCAAAAATTAAGATGACCAGTAGATGGCAGCATAATGTTAACATTTTTTAAAAATGTTTATTGCCATCTGGTGGTCATCTGATTTTTTGCAGAAAAATTTTTATTCATTTTGTGTAATACAGTTAGTCCTCGACTTACAACCACAATTAAGCCCAAAATTTCTGTTATGAGACATTTTTTGCCCCATTTTACAACCTTTCTTGCCACAGTTAAGTGAATCACTTCAGCTGATAAGTTAAAAGCGTGATTGTTAAGTGAATCTGGCTTCCCCATTGACTTTGCTTGTGAGAAGGTTGTAAAAGGTGATCACATGACTCCAAGACACAGCAATGGTCATAAATATGAACCAGTTGCCAAGCATCTGAATTTTGGTCACAAAATCATAGGGATGCTGCAAAGATTATAACTGGAAAAAAAGTCCTGTCATATTTTTCAGTGCCATTTTAACTTTGAATGGTCACTGAACAAACTGTTGTAAGTAAAAGATTATCTATAGTGGGAGAAAAAAACTGGATGTCGTCAGAGTTCCACAAAAAATTGTTTAAAATAATGCTTTTAAAATTCTGCATAGGTTTATCATGTACTTCTCATTATTTAATAATCTAGTAGGCAATAATCCTTAAATGCAAAAAATTATTGTATATTTATTTTTTATGCCTGAGGCTTTCTTCTGTTTCAAAAAAGTGATATGGTAATAAGTTAGTTACAACACACTTAAGATGCTAAGTGTAGAATGTGAAAGAATTTCAGGGGGCAAATTTAAAAAAAAACCACTCAGATTTTTTAAAAAATCTCTTAATATACCTATTACTGTTGTGGGAAGTACACTCCAAAAGGACAGTGTCAGAAACCTCACAGCACCAGAAACTCAACAGAGCCAAGAGACTCAAGCCAGTCCTTCTTTAAGAAAACCTAAAAGGAAAATCCCAGCCGGAAAAGCCATTAACATTCTGTTACTAGAAGTAACAAAGTAAACTGAAAGTCTGGGCTACTGCCAAAGGCTAGTATTAGGAATAAAAAAAAAAACTAGACTATGAGGCAGAATCCTGACAGTACTCAAATCAACTAAAAATAATTCAGCTGGAACTCCCCTTTTCCTCTTTCCTGGCAGAATTAACCCCCAGGATAGAAAAAAACAAAGCTTCAGGGACAGGATTAACCCACTAAGCAGGAAGACAGAACCAAAAGCAACCACCTTAACTAAAGGCACACACAAATGTCATCAAACTTCAAAGGGAGAATGGGTATAAAAATCCATAAACTTCAAAGGGAAAATGGGTATAAAAATCATAAACTTATCATGCCACTCTGCTTGCAAGCCAGGAACACTGAAGCTGTGTCACTTTTTGCTTCTTGCCTTCCTACATTAAAATAATTCCACTTTCTGGCAGCTGACTTCTGCATCCATTTCTTCTCACCTCTGTGGTATGTCCCAGCTGGGAATGAACTCAGGAAATTTCTTCCAACACTATGAAACAAACTCAGTAATAAGAAAAAAGATCCACAAGAAGAAAGTAAAAATGAGAAAAGAGAGTGAGCGGAATGAGAAAGGGCAAGGGGAAAAGAACAGAAATCAACTAGAAGTGTAAGACCTAAAATATAAATGAAATGATAGAAGAAGTAAAGATGTCATCAATTAACATAAATGTATTGAACTCCCCTATGAAAAGGATTTTTTTTTACAAAATTGCAAAAATTAAAATTGGAATTTTGTTGTCTTTTAAAAGTACACCATAACATCACAGTTGAATGCCAGAGAACTTCCAAATTCTGCACTTCTCAGATATGACATATTTCTTCAGAAAGATCAAATTTTGCTCCTCTCAGTAATACAATAGGGCTAGGTTTGCATCCAGATACAGCAAGACATGAGGCACATGCTACAAGGCATAGCTAGGCAAAGTCCAAAGTCCAACCAATCAAAGTCCAACCAAAGTCCAACCAATCCAAGGAAGGAAGAAATTAGAAGCTGTGTAAGCCTTGCCATAGTTTAGGTGACTGTTGTCTGTGCAAAGCCACTCGGAGTAACCTTTGTCCGCTGACAGTTACATGAAAAGTCGGATGAGCTTTGTCACTACTAAATGAAAAGCTTTTGAATTTCACATGGATGACAGCCAATATAGAATAGCATGAAATGTGATCGCTATATCTTTGACCTCCTTTCTTTCAGAAAAAGAAAAGATCAAGCTACTACTGCAGACAGATAATACTACATAATTTGAGGGGAATACCTGGCTTTCTTAAAAGGCAAGGTGTTAAAATACAAAGATTCCTGAAAGAATGCATCTGTCTTTACACAAAGGGAAAAAACAGTCCAACCTGTCAAAAACAGCACCACAGAAAACAGATTAGGACACAAATTAAAATAGGGAAGAAAATGGTAAGTGAGCACCTGTCTATCTTAAGAGTTCAAAATCACCAGGACCAGATGGATTACACCCCAAGGTGTATCTAGCAAATGTGATCTCAGAACCACCGAACTATATCTTTCAAAGTTCCTGGGGCACCGGAAAACTGCCAGAGGACTGGAAAAGAGCTGATGTAGTTCCCATATTCAAACAAGGAAAAAAAATAGATCCAGGAAAACTATAAACCCATCAGCCTGACCTCAATACCAGGGAAGATTCTGGAAAAGGTAATCAAGCAACACACACAGAAGCAAAGAAAGTAATAACCAAAAGCCAACATCGGTTTGTCAAAAATAGATCATGCCAGATTAATCTTATTGCATTCTTTGACAAAGTGACAAAATTAGTGGACCAGAATGCTGTCATTATAATTTACTTGGACTTCAGTTAGGCATTTGACAAAATAGATCATAACCTACTACTTGATAAAATAG